TTTCCCATAAGAATAACTCCATTAGAAACTTGCCATGACTAGTTCCTGGACAACAGAATTACTAGAGGTGGACAACAGGTGCCTCAGAAAGAGTTAGGATTTAAGTACCAGATGTCATGATAATTTCCAAAAAAAACCCAGAAAATTGAATGAGTAGGTAGAAAGGCAACAGATGCTGCTTGCTATTGAAACGATACGTGGAATAAATAGACTCCACAACTTGGGATAGTTCTGAAGTGGGTATGTATTGCCAGCGCCGACACAAGTGAGATCGCTCTCCAAGACTTGTGCCCTGAGCCTCAGTCTGACCCAAACCTTTATTCCCAAAGGTGTTCCATATGCAGTACATTGCACAACTTCAATGCATATTCAACCCCTGGCCCCGCCTGCCCTCACCCCTCATGCTGAATAGGTCCACGCCCTTCTGGGCACACGTGGTTTGCCATGGTGGTCCTGCGGGGGTCTCTGGTGGTCTCTTGGGGCTGAAGATCGTGGTTTCCTTCATGGTTGAACTTTTGAACTTTTCTCCTTTGCGCGTACGCTTTTGGTCCTTTGGTGCTTATCTGCATCCTGTCTGTCAGTCTTGGTAGGCTTAGGGACAGACGAGCCTCTTTATCTGGGTTCTTGGTATCTTTGGTCATTTCTGGTATTGTTCTTTATGCAAGAAGCTGCAGAAATTTGCATTTTCTTATGCCCTTTTGTACCTTGGCAGAGGTTTCCTAAGTAAAAGGTTAAAATTCAACACATAACTCTACAAGCTAGAATATAAATCCTTAATTCATTTTTTTAACGTAAGTGAACTCCAAAAATGTTTCACTACATCATCCTGCAGGGGGAAAAAAAAAAAAAAAGTGGTTCCCAGGTCTACAGCCAAAGCTCTGAAGCTCCATGGATCAGATTAATAGTTATCACAGATCAAATTAACCAGGTATAAAGTGTGGCTTATGATATCTCTGAAAAGCTGAAAAAGTAAGTCAGTGTTGCATCAGCAATATGACATGAAAATTATAGCAATACATAGCACATTGCATTTGTTGGCATATTTTACTTTTTTTCAGGTTTCAAAACTCAGATATAATTCAATCACATCAAATTATATGGTTCACTAAACTAACATTAAATTATTAAATTACTATTTTGGGGAACAAAATTCTAGTGAAAAATAAGGATTGTTGATGTTGATTAGAGACTTCCTGTGTTGTGTCTGTACATCAACAAATCTACCATAAAACTCCTGAAAACTGAAGTTCATTGTTTGATGGTCCATAACAAAAATGAGCTTCTGAGAATGTAAAATCAGAAAATTAAATGGCTTTTCTTACCCACATCTGTAATATTTGAATAGGGAGAATAGGCAACTGCTAGTTATTACTGCATGAGACAGCTTTAACATCTGCTTGAGCTTTTTGTGTTCATTAGCTGTTAGTTTCCCTTCTGTTAGGGATTTTTTTAAATTATGGGTTAGACTGACCATGTAATAGAATAACTTAATTTCATGCTGTGCTGGCGTTCAACCTCAATCTTCTTTCAGAAGACACTTCTTATTGAGTGTGAAGCCCCTTCGTTCTTCCAGTTCCTTTGTTGCTCCCTTTCATCGGGAAATGGTTGGAAAATAACCAGTTTTATGGGGTTTTGTCAACAAGGGACAGGAAAAAATGGTCAAGAGGCAGACAGGGCTTTTTTCACAGTATCACATCTAATTGCAAAACATCATACTTAGTACAAGTCATCCTTAGCACATATAACAGAACCTCATCATGTATAACCTTAATTTAAAGCCATACTTACATGTGAGGTTTGATCTTTACAGCACAACTCCTTTAATTCTCTAACATACAATTCTTGTCTCCTTTTCTGGCCCATTTCGACCCTCTGTCAAAACAAGTAACAGTGTATTTTGTACCTTGCTTACATAATATTCTAAAAAGAGTTATATTTGGTAAATAAGGTTTAATAGCTATTTTGCCATATCATTTTCCAATTAAAACCGCTTTGCAGAAGTACAATCTACAGAGTTCAAAAAAGTGTCAACAGGTGTGAATTCAAAAATTAGTAATGTAGAATTTACATAGCCATTTCTCTAATAAGCAAGTGAAAATGGGTATTAACATGTAATTTATATATGCTACGCAGAAAATTGAAATGCCAGGTTTCAAAGTGATGTAGAGGCCTACATCCAGCCTGGGAGTGTATGGGGTAAAACAAAACTGATGAACTGTCACTAAAGGAAGAACAAAAAACAACCTCTTCATATGTTCAGTTGAAGAATATAATCTTACTCATACTCAAGGAAAATATGTCTCCAGGAAAAAATGAATAAGACAAAGCAGAATAGTTGTTTCCTCTAACACTTTTTCCTGATTGCTGTCTTCCTGTTAGCCAACATTCCGCGCTAGCACTGGAACTGGAGAAAATGCTCTTTCCTTGCATGTCAGGATGATCACCCTGGAATAAGGGCTATAAATTAGTCCCTTAATTTCTCAAGTAATACCTTAAATTAGTATTTTAGAATTATTTCTGCTACTCCAAAACGTCATCTCTTTGAGAACTTAGAGCTTGAAATACTATTAACTCAATTTATGGAAACATCTAATTATGTGTTTTCCTTTCAGGAAGAGCCATGTATCACAACAGCCTAAAACAGCAATGCAATATATCCTCTGGGCAGCTGCAGAGCAGTTGGGTAATGCAAGCTATTACCATTTGTAATTTGTTTATTCAAAAACCACCCCACACTAGTAATATTGATGGAGCAATACTCATTGCAAGTCTTATGAAATTAGTATTTGAACTGCGCTTCTTAGGTACAGAACAGAGGACTCAGATCTACTACTCAAATCCCCTTCTGTAAAGATTTCCTGCAGGATTTGAAAGCTTAAACACAAAACCTCACATGTGCTGGTAGTGAAAAACACTCTTGATTTTGTGATGTTCCGCTTACTTACTTCAAATAATTGAACCTTAGAATGTAAGAAACTGAAATATATTTCCTCACTGTTTCTCATGCACTGCAGATCTGGAAGACTACCTCAGCAGCAATTTTGGCACTCTAGAAACAAACCTAGAAAACAAGGCCTTTGTGCTGAGGATATGAAATCCATTCCTATTTGTCTGAGGATGTTTACCTTGGATGACCTCTAATCCATGTCCTACAGACTAAATGTTCCTTCATGATGCTAATATAGCTTCTAGCTTAGTTTCAAAAACATCCAGGTTTGTGTCCTCCAACAGTGCTCTGCAACAGAATCGAAAACTAAGCAAGCAGATAAAACTCCAGATGCTTGGGTTTTCATTCAAACTTAAATGCAGAAGCAGGTTCAGTCCCCAGTTTCTCTGTTTGAATGGACCAGAATTACATGTTTGCTGCATGATACCAATATAGTGGGATACACATGATGCATTAGATTGGAATTTTAGAAACCGCATCATATACTAAAGCAAGAATCTGAGGGACAGATTGATATATCACATAACAGAAACTTTGTCATTCTGTAAACATTAAAATTGCCCTACTTACAAAAAATTCCAAAGCCAATTTAACAGCACAAAAAATTTTGTACTTCTCAGTACAGAAAGTAAGAAGTGTGTTTCTTCAAAATAACAAATTTTATAAATTTAGTTTCTGATGTAAATAAGTCTCTGGCTCAAGCAGAGTGGAAAAATGATGAAAAATACTTGGGCTTTAGTTCATCTTCCCACCATGCAGCCCCTCCCTTTCAGCTGCCTCTGATGTTCAGTGTGGTTTGTCTAATATAAGAACACCAGGTGGGTATTGCAAAGGTGACTGGATGCTTGCACAGTCAGCGCATTCCAGAGATGGGGGAGCACATCACCTGCTAAAGGGTATGAAGTGCTGCTGGAGACTGGGACAACTGGGCAAACTGGTCTCCTGAGGTTGCAGGCAATTCCAGTAAAGGAAATTCTAATTATAGTTGAAAAGGAAATTCCAATTACAATTTTTTAAAAAATCATTTGTTCCCAACTGGAAGAATTGAACACTGTAACAACAGGGAGGCTGACATCTCCACCAAGAAGTTCAAATGAAAGTCTGTACCAGTCTAATCAAATTGGATCTGTTTGCAGCAGGGAACTGACCCAAATTTAGCAGATCTTTCCAAACCAAATTTCTCTGTAGCTGCAGTGCTGTAACAATTTGTATTAAAATAAATAAATTTAAAAAAAAAAAAAAAAACAGCAAATATTAAAGTTCTTAGTGAGTCATGGCACACACTGCAAACTGCAAAAGCTCCACAGCTGAACAGAGACAAGTGCCTTGCATACTCTCATTCTTGCTGCACTGTTTTGCCATGACCTGAACAGATTTTCATAGCCTGCTTGAGTCAGGCTAGAGCAAAGACCTCTTGAGTGATAATAAGAATCTGGAAATAGGGTAGAGAGAGGAAAAGCTTCAAAACAGCATTCAGACCCACAGGACATAGGCTAGATCATTACCCTCTGTCACACTACAAACCCACAGGCTCTGTGTATGTGCTTCCCTTTTTCCATCAAGAGCAAAGACAGGTTACTCCATGAGCCAACACCAAGCTGCAGCCTCAGGAAGAGACCTCCAGTCTGGGCTTCACCAAAGCTTGAGGAAAACATGAAAGCTGCATGTTGGACTTGTGATATTACTGAATACTGTCAAATGGCTAAAATTATTCACTTATCACTTATCACTTTGAAGGTAGAAATGGAATCATCACAGCAACCAACTCAACATTCTTGTAGAACTAAAAAACAGCGGAAGCAAATCTATATGGTACCTGGCTCAAAGGAATAGTATTCATCTCAAACTGCAGCCACTGGAAAATTAACTACTCAGACTAATCAGTTATTACAGCTTTTCTTTTATCTTATTTAATCTCAAAAAAAGCAACACATATCTTGTTCAATCACTCTCAGTTGTCTAAACCTTTTCATTTACTAGAAAAGCTAAGTGAAGTTGCTACAGTCAGGTGACAGTCATACCTAGAATGAAAAAATGTAAAGAACCAACACAATTAGAAAAGAAAAAGAAAAATAGTATTTTATTATGATTTCTATTCACTACAGCTTTCAATCTCAACATCCTTTGGTGGCAGCTTGATTCTTTTAACTTTCAAAAGTAACCGTGGACTAGTTAACTACTCAGGAAAAACAACAGGAGAAAAACAGAGTAATCAACAGAGAAAAATAACAATTATCTAGTGTTCTTCAGTAAAGCAAATTTTAAAGAGAACCGTGGTACTCTTGATCCAAAGTAACAGAATGGGGTTTTTCTCCAAGTACAAATGAAAAAGTGTTCCCCCTCCCTCATTTGCTAGTTTTTAAAGAAAAGCTAGATCTTTTATTAGCCATCTATGAGCAGAGACATGATGCATACTGCAGCTGAATACAACTGAAAAACTACTTGTTGGACAAGACAAAAATTAATTCTTTAGCTGGTAGTGAAAAACACTCTTGATTTTGTGCGTTTCTTTGAATTTCAATGTTCCATTTATTTACTACAAATAACTGAGCCTTAGCATGTTAGATCCCTACAAATCCCCTTTTTTCTTTTGCTTAGCTGGGAGGGAGATGGAGAATTAATTATTTGCCTTCCCTCTTCTCCAATTTCCCTCCTATTTTTTATAGAACTGAAGGAAAAGTTGAATACAATGAAATTGAGAGGCCATACATGCTACGTTCAAATAAAGCTGTCACAGTGTTTTAAATTAAAATCCAATTACAAGCCTTCTCCTGCAGTATACAACATATTAGTACTTGCATGAAAAATTTTATGTCAAATCATAGAAAAGATATGTGCAAACATGATAGATCTGCTGTATGTTATTACATTTTTAATGTATTACCTATTCAAAACCTGTGTTTTAAGTATCTTCACGTAAAAATAGAGGTAGCGAAGAAGAAATGTTGTATTTTATATGAGGTCTCTATACATGATGTAACAAAAAATGTTTGTTCTCTCGACCAAGAAATGGAAATATCACAAATCCACGTTATTAGGCAAATATTTGAATTTCAGTCAAGGATACTTACTAGAATAAGAAAGAAACAGCAATCTATGTCATAATTTAAATTTGCTGGACTTATTATGGAAATTAAAACAGTGCTTTTAATTAGATTAGTGAAAAGTCAAACAATCAAAACACTGGCTTTTAAGTTTAGTAGTTTCTGTGCTGTCCAAACAATAGCTTATTTATTTAGAAAAATTCTAATGAACTTCAGCATCTTAAATATAGAAGCATAGAATAGCTTGGTTTGTAAGTGACTTTAAAGACCATCCAGATGCAATTGGAACCCCATGGACAGGGAACCTTCCACTAGACAAGGTTGCTCAGAGCCCTGTACAGCCTTAGTCATGAGCAATTGCAGGGATGAGGCATCCACATCTTCTATGGGAACCTGATCCAGTGCCTTACCACCCTCACAGCAAAGAATTTCTTAACATCTAGTTTAAACCTGTCCTTTGCAGTTTGAAGCCATTCCCCTTTGTCCTGTCACTACATACCCATGTGCAAAGTCCTTCTCCTGCCCTCTTGTGGGCCCCTTTTAGCTACTGGAAGGTGCTACAAGGTGTCACCAATGCCTTCTGTGCTTCCCACTGAGCAGTCCCAGCTCTTTCAGCCTGTGTTCACAGCAGAGGTGCTCAGGGCCTGTGATCAGCTTAGTGGCCTTCTCTGGACTTGTTCCAACAGGTCAGCATCTTTCTTGTGTTGGGGGCCCTAGAGCTGAAGACAGCAATTCAGTGGAATCTCACGTGAGCAGAATAGAGAGGGAGAGTTCAAATGTGGCTTTCTCAGCATCACAAGAATATTAATTAAGAAAGCATCACTAAACATCACTACTACCAAAGTGGTAAGTACAATTAAAAGCTAAGTGAACAAACTGAAACACTGTTCCAAATTCTGTGAACAGATCAGGTATGCAAGACATTCTGCCTGTGCAGAACTGGACCACCTTTTTTCTCAGACACTTAAAAAGGAAATGACTAGAAATTATGGAGAATTTAGCAGCTGCTTAAAAGAGGTAAGCAGTGCAAGTAAATGTACATTTCCTTCCCAGACTTGAAGGTTACTTGGCAAGTGCCTGATATCCTGTGTTTCATTTAACATAAGTGTGCACCATAAAAAGTGGAACCGTATTTTAAAGAAAAGTAACTTTCCTAAAATATTCCTGATACACAGCATCCATACAATCCCCAAAAGAAAAAGAACATTATGCTTAGCTCTCAAATCATGTAAGCATCTATTTCAGAGAGTGTCCTGAGCTCGAAGGGGCATGCAAGGATTTGCTTCTGCTTGCATCTGTTCGAAATTTATTTTTAAGTTTTGATGAAATCAACAGTTGCATTGTCCATACTAGCCAAAAAACAGCTTTGATGATAAGACTGAATACAGTTTTGGCACCGCATTTTTTAGTAAATTTCCATGACAGAAGTACAGACAGTAAGGAGGAGGAAGTCAGTAACTATTTAAGGATGGCCATGAGTTATTAGTTCTTTCTTGTACCAGCACAATGTTGACCTTAAAAAGAACATTTTCATTCTTTTATGCATTGTCTCATTGGAGATTTAGTTTGAAGGGCTAATCTGCCCATCTTTTTTATAAAAGTCTATATCCCCTGACTGAACTACATCTCCTAGGAGTCAATGCAGTCTTCTCCAAAAGCCAGCTGCCTTAGGACATTGAGAGATTCTTCCACCTCTCATTTTCTGTGACCTCTGTGACAAAACTGCAGTCGGAAATACGAGCAGAATACAAATCAGTATTTAGCTTTGGTATGATTCCCTGACTTTGGCCTGCAGGGCATCACAGGTCTTTTTAGCATCTCCCAACAACATGGCAGTATTGGGCTTGTAGAAGATGGGATTGTCCACCGCTGCATAACCAGCTCCCAGAGATCTCTTCATTACAATGACCTGCACATAAAGAGTTCATGTTTGAAACAGCAAAACACAGCCACCACCCTTCCTCAAACACAGGCAACGCAAAACCAACCTCCACAACCTCTGAGAAACCTCTGACCAAAACAGGGTGCTCACTGCTATGAAAATGTATTTCAGATTTTAATATAGCAGATAAATTGACATCCAGATCAATTTCAGAAACATTTTTTTGTTAAAAACAATGTTATATAGCATGTCCACTGATGACCATAACATTGAAGGGTTTTGAGACTTTAATTTTGAAGTGTTCAATTCCCTGATAGCGACAAAATTCAGGTAAGTGTTCACATCAATACTTGGTGCAACAGTCTCTTTACTATTAATATGCATTACTTCATACATAGGACATTAAAAAAATCAAAAATCAGTGGTTTTACCTATTAAGTGTCAAATTAGTTAATTGCAGCACCCTCAGCAGAGAAACTGAGAAGCTTTATCTCAACTGTGTTTTTATTTCTCAAATTACAATATATAGCTATACACACTGCTGACAAATGTATATGCCTGCGACTGAGTATTTGAATGGATAACCCAATGAGGCCACAACTGCATTCAGAACAAGGTATCAGAGATTTCACACCAAGGAAACACAAGCAAATGTGCTTTAGATCAGAGCAAAACTGTTAAGGTAACTAAACTGTTGGTTCAACTTGGACAGTCTAAGCGCTCTACTTGACTCAGCCATGCATTGTTTTGGGGTTTTGATTGCTTTTTTTTGGGGGGGGGATATTTGTTGGTTTTTAATTATTACTTTTTATTTTATTTAAGCATATTATTAATTCTTGTATTTCCACCTCAGTATTAAAGTTGTCAACTATAAATTTAAAAAGACAGGTATTAATACAGAAATGTTTCAGGGCTGTGGATGTAAGCAGACCACCATTTATTCTAAAAACATTCTAGTAGAAGCACTCTAATTGATCTTTTCTATTGCAGTCATCACTGGTCTCACTAAAGCACTTGATGATGATTCTAAAATCACGAACAGTGTATCACACTTGGAAAGCACTGACCATTTTGTTGGACAATGTGGAGGAAAGTTTCTTGTAGAAACTAGAATAGTGGAAGAATCCTGTTAGCTTATCCTACAAACAATGTTTTTAAAAGCTTGCTAAAGGTAGGTGATAATTCAATTCAATTAATCTCACCTGCTTGGACTTCCAGACCTCAAGAACTGGCATTCCAGCTATGATAGAGTTTGGATCTTCCTGAGCTGCTGAATTAACTGTATCATTTGCACCAATTACAAGGACCAAGTCAGTTTCTGCAGCAAGACAAAGAAAATAACACTGATGAAAAATTAGCTGAAATTGAAAGGCTGAGGCTGAGACACATTCTAGGCAGAAGGACCCCTAATGGTTAAGCATGCACACAAGCATTTTACAAACTTCTCAGGCAAATTATATGTGAGAGTTCAAATGTGCTGCCAGCTACTTCTAACAAACTATGCACATCCACAATCTAGTTCCAAGACACTCATTAGACCACCCTGCCACACAAAATTTAAAAGCTTTTGACATTTAAATGTGTTTGAATACACACATCACTTTCAAATTTTTTTGTGGTTTTTCTTTTGAATATTCTTCTGAAAAATCTTTAGCAGCAACCTTCTGCCTTTTAAATAAAGATGTAAAAAAGCAAGAAATTGCCAGTACAATGCAGTACATGATAGGGTCAAGTCATCCACAATACCTGAGCTAAAGAAGTAATAAAAATTTTCCTCTGCAAGGACGGGGCAGAGGAAAATTATAACAGAGATAATAAAGATACAGCATTTGCCATTTACTTCACAGCTAGAAGCAATTAAAAAAAAAGCTCCCCCTACCCTCCCCTCCAAAAAAGACCCCTAGCCCTCTACAAAGAGAAACTGAATGGCTTGACTTCTTGACTTTCTATTGTTAAAATCCCTGTGCAGTGCAAGAACAGAATCAAATAAATCACCCAATCTACTGGAATGGCTTATGGCTTATGGCTCACATACTAACCTGGGAAGTCTTCATTGATTTCATCCATTTCCAGTACAATATCATAGGGAACGCCCGCTTCTGCTAGCAGTACGTTCAGCTGACCAGGCATACGGCCAGCCACAGGGTGAATACCAAACCTAAAAGGGAAGAAACCCCATTAATAAGTTTGGACTACTGTGTTTTATACATTAAAATTGTCACCTGTTACTTAGAAGGCTGAGAAGTTCTTAATTATAAGCACAAATGGCAATTAAAAAATGAAACTGTTAAACTTCAACCGTTCACCTTCCAAGCAGTACCGTATTTAAAACCTTGTGACAGATTCTTTTACAAATTATCCTTTTAACTCCAAAACTACCATCCACATTAATATGTTTTTCAGGTCCTTTACATCACTGAAAACACCATAGACTAAATAAAACTGCCATGAAAAAGGCAACAGACCATGCCACCTTTCTGAAGCAAAACTACTCCTAGGCCTAGAGATGCCCTTAGCAAATGACTTTATCAATGGTGTGAACACTTTCAATTGAACAGAAAAATTAACAGCACAAAACTTCAAGTACAAGACAAAGCCTTGATGAATTAGGTTAACATGCCACTTCCTTCTCAGGATTGACCTTAGGAGGAAATGAAAAGGGGACCAAAAAAAGGATGGGGAGTGAAAAATTAAAGAGCTAAGACACTGTAATCGTTTAAGCATAAACACTTTTAAACGTGTTTTCCAGAACAGCTCAAAAACAACTTAGAGAGAATACACTCGTGAGTTACTAAAACCTCAGACAGACCAACAGAGTGGCACATGGGGTGTTCAGACATGTATGCATTTCCCTAAGAGTAAAAACCTGAAAAAGCCAGGATGGAGATATTAAACAGGTTTAGCTGCAACCACCAAAGACTTATTTTGTGAGAAGCAAGTCTGTTTCCTGTTGGTACTCTTCTGATCATCTACTGGCCCTTACAACCAAGGCAAACCCATGAGTACTTGTCCTGTGCATTTTCTGTCTTTCCATCTCCAAAGCCATCACCAAATGGAATGCTGACTTGTGCTTGCCAGAAGTGCCTCAGATGAACATTGTATGGGGCTGAAGACAATGTTTAATTCAGAAGTCTACAGATACTTTGGAAGAGAAGGAAAACAGACAAGAAAAAATTTGTATTTTTGAATTCTTGGATTTTGGAAGAGGAATTTCTGAACAGAAATCCGAGTAAGTCAGGAATTAAAAGAAAGTAATTCAGAATTCTTCAGAAAGGAGAGAACTACTAGTAAATCAACTTGCCATGAGAGATGGATTGTCATATACTTCTATTTTCAACTCCACTGCAATGAGAATGAGATGACGGACCACAAGTCACAGTCCAATCAACACAGATCACTCGTGAATTGAAGACTGTACAAATACATCCTTAAATGGGCAACAGAGCACTCCATCATCAAGGCAACATTAATACAATAAAACATGAGACAATTGGAACTCCAGCAACAAAATTAAGGACATATGATTAATCCACATAATACTAGATATAGTACAACTTTAAGCTCTAGGTTGAGAGTAGGATAAAAGCTAGTTTTAAAAGGAATGCTTTTAAAGAACGGGAATAGATTGTATTCAGCTAGTAAACATTTGGGACCCTGTTGCAAAGGCTAATACCTAGAATCAGAAGGAGACCAAACATATAGCACAAATTCCTAACAGCTTATGTTTCACACCACTCACTCAGTAACACAAGCCATGTGTAGTACTGCAGATAGATCTTAAGCGTACCAAATTTGATCATTAACAGTACAGTAGGAGAACTCTTATTCTGAAGTACCCTTGAGAAAACTCATCACTCCTCTGGCAGTGAAAATAGATTTTCCAACAAAATTCTCTTTTGTGTCTAATAAAATTATTTGAGTGCCTTTGTGACCAAAGCTGCTTTGGCAATACACAAAACAAAATACTCGTGAGGATTCTATTAAGTACTATATACACATAAAATCTTATTTCAAGGGCTAGAAAGCCAAAATTTAAGCTGCCAAGAGAATTAATTTCACCTTTGACTTTGCCATTACTGGCAAGAGGCAAGGAAAGAAGAAAAGAAAGGGACAAATTATCTTCACACAGGAAGAGTTATGGCAGGAACCATCAGTAGTTAGAGATTTCTGACAGACTCTGCTTGAAACCACATACTGTGTATTCAAAAAGTTTGAGTAAGCTGCTCATACAAAAAAGCTTTTTTGGACAAATATTGAAGTGACTCCCAAAAGTCTGCTTCTAAGAGTCTGTTAACCAAATATGACAGTAGCTTGCCAGTACTACTAAAAATTGGATGTGCAAGAATATAAAAAAGTATAATCTAAAATTATAGCTTCTCTAAGACTTTCATTATGTCACAAGGTAACATTTACACACCTCTGGAGTGAAATCAGCCAATCCAATAGAAAACACGATTCAGAATTCAGGTAACTATGCAAAATAGATACCAAAAGTCCTTGATGGCTCATAACGTGTCTAACAAAAGCAGAAATCTTGCCTCCAACTCCTAACAGCAGCAGTTCTTCAAGACTATGTGCATTTCAGCAGGAACATTTTGTTACATATGCTGTCTCAGATGTTCATAACATAAACCTCATTCATATTAAAAAATTTAACATGTATTATTTTAAAAGGAAAACATGTTTTATGGCAAAAAATGCTTTCAAGTGAAAAATTTCTAAGTTTCTTTGATATTCTTTTCTCATCAGTAATGCAGGAACTCCCTTAGGTTGGTTCGTTTGTTTATAAATCAAGAAGAAATCTTAAACCACAACACATAGTCACAGTCATGTTGCATATGACTTGAAACATTATTCCGGTATTTCACTAAAATACAGAATTCAACAAGAATTTTTTCTTTTTACCCTGACAACATAATATGGGGCTTGCTTACCACCAATTGTCAAATACTGAAGTAAGTGTACATGACCTTGCTACTCACACTTCACAGGTAAAGAGCTTATGAAACTCTTTTAACCACCTCTACTGAATACTTTTAAGTTTTATAAAGACAACACAGCATATAAGTTTACATTTTGAACTTTTTAAAATAATACAAAAAGCGCAGCATTTTATTTTAAATTTAGACTAAATATCTAAAACTCCTGACATACACATATCTAGCACTTTCAGCACAAAACCCACTTCATCTGAAGTTGGAGGAATAGAAAGGACTGAAGGTGGCCAAAGTAGTACAAAGTCAGTAATTTCAAAAAAACAACTATAGCATGAAAAATTCCTGAAAAATCTCAGAATATAAATTACTTTTCATACAGCTTATAAAATCAGTATCTATCTTTATTACAGCTGGCTAAATAACATTCTGATAATCAATACTGAAAGAGCTGGCTCACAAGAGCAGCACCTAGCCCAGTACCTAACCCAGAAGTGTTTCAAGATCACTTCATCAGTGTGAAGACAGGTTGCCTGTCGTTATACCAAAGTTGGGCAGAGCAAAATAACATCTGCCTGGTACCTAATTTAGCTCACTCAGCACTTTAAGTGTTGTATTTGCCCAAGGGTTTTGCTTCACTTACACCTCCTCACAGCTCTTTCACTTTATTTAGACACCTCTCTGCAGCTCTGTTTTAAGTACGAACAACAATCCATTATTCTAGGTAACAGGAAGTGAAAAAAAGCCACCAGAAAACTAGATGACCAGAGAAGTACATCATTCAAGTATTCCACAGCTTGAATCCTGCCATGTAATGGTTGCAGTGCAGCATGACTCCGAGTATAATGTTTATCATGCATATGGATAACTGTAGGTTATAGGCATCAACACACAGAGCTATACCAGCTAGCATAGACCTACTGTTATTCTGAAGGCAACATATGCCCCCAGAACCAGTCCTATGGCATGGATCAAGCTCAGTGGCTTTGCTGCAGTAAAGTCAGTTAAATTTAAATTAAGTTAGACAGCTAAATTACACATACTTAAATAAGGGCTGATACTGGCTCCACTATGGTTTATGACAGCAGGGGCAAGATGCAGATGGATCTGAGCTCTGTGCACAATTACAGCTGCATCCTTGCAGAAGCCATCAGGCACTGCATGATTTACAAGTTCTAACTATAGCAATAAAGCACTGGAGCTATACAGACCTGTTGGACTCCAGCTATTCCTTCATCTGCGGCATTAATAATTCAGAACCCACACACCAAAGTTGATTACAACAAACCAAGAACTGACACACAGGTACACAATTTGTGTTTTCGTGCTGTGTATAACTCAGCTTCCCAGAAGCCTGTACCAGTACACATTGTACTTATGCTGCCTCTCATCAGTGACAGTAATTTCCATCTTGCATGTGAGCTATGCAGTGTATTAAGGCTGCTTGGGACAGCATCTTAACAGCTTACCCTTTAAAATTCTTCTAGATTTTCTGTTAGAGCTACAACAGGTGATGGCTTTAAACTGATACCATAAACAGTTGAGTGTAACCAGTCTTATTTATTAATTTGCAGATAAATGTGTAAGTAGTACTCATGCACATGTTCTATTACTTTCAAGAAATTAAAGAGTGGAGAAAAAAATCAGAACACTAAACACACTTGATTAGAATTCAACCACTAGGGTATCAACAAAAACAAAACAAAACTTAAAACCACAGGTACAACACTAAATAAATACTAGCATATTTTCAAAAATGTAGAAAATTCTTGTTTTCATGTGTTCAAAAGTAATTACATTCTCCAGCATCAAAAGACAGAAATCCAAGTCCTTCAAGATATCTACCTTTAAAAAGGTTTAAAAAAAAACCAAACCAGAATGCTAACTTCCTAGCAACTATTTTGAAAGGATATTCAAGTGGCAATGTGCATGTCTCTCAACTATGAATTCCCAGAAAATCAACTTATTAACTATGTAATTATTTAGAAAGTCTACATGAAGCATAATTTTAAGAATCCTTCCATACCAAAGTGCATTTTTCTTATCAAGAACATCTCACTATTCAGGAGAAAAAAACACACTGACAGAAAATGCCTCAAGAAAGTCATACTGTGGTAAAAACTAAGACAGTTAACTGGATGTGAATATGGAAAACATTAACAACCCTTGCATATACAAGAACATACAGTTTTAGACTGTAATTATGTTTCTATATACAAATTACTACAGAATATAGTTTTATTATATAGAAAAAAAATCAGAATTTCACAACCAGGGTTCTACAAACATGTGGCTGATGAACTTTAGTAAGGCAGGAACTTACAACAATTTACTTACTTCTAACTGCAGAAATACAACACCAGTTGTAGAACAGCCATTTCCTCTCCAAGGCCAATAGATTCAGGGGGCTATGGGATTTAGCCTATAAAAAGTTTTGTTGTTTATCCATCCATGACAAGGGAAAGCTATACTCAAGGCTCAGTAATATCCAGCTTTCTCTGTGACTTTACTAATGCATTAAAGATGTGATCTGCTGCAAGACCATCTCAAGCGAGCAATGATGTTAGCTATACAACTGAGTAACTAAAACAGTCTAAAGTTTCCAAAATCTCTCCTGTATTTCTAAATTTAAATCCTACTCAAAGGTTATGCATCATGTTATATAATCTGTGGTCTTCAATGAGAATGTTATGGCTATAGGCAAAGCAAATTAAAACAACAACTTCTCTAGATCAGTGGTGAGCCATGAAACAAAAAACCAGACCATATGACAGTCGCAATTTTTCTTGGCACACGATGGGCATTACAGACTGATGCAATCCTGTGTCCATGCTGGCAGCCCTCCACAGCGTGTGTGTGAGAGTGTCACTACATCTGGATGGTGAGTGCATTAGGGTCCCGAGGCACTCCAGGCCTACTGAAACCAGAGGACAACAGCTGCACTCAATGAACACCATGGGAGCTCAGCAAAGTGATGAAAGGCCTGAGTTACCACAAACTGTAAATACAGATTTATTTCATTAAAATACTAGGTAACCACTGCAGTGATTCCTTCCTGAAATAGATTCATTTCAAGTACAAGCCATTTATTTCAAGGACTCATTCACTTTTCTCCCCTGCAAAGCCAACATAAAAGGCAAAAACAATCTTTTTTTTTTTTGTTTCACCAAGGTTGGTCAAAAAAGAGCTAACCCCCCACAGAAGCACTGAAAGGAAAGCCAGAAGTATACAAGACTGTCATCGCATTAGCCATGAAAGGGTTTTTTTTGTTGCACAACTAAGGCGTCCTGAAATGTGATCTGAACACACACAGAGCTGTTGCTAAACATGGAGAAACAAGGTGTCAAGACTGCTCCAGGAAGCAAATACACCACCACACACCCTCATTTCTCATGTATGCACAAACAAATACATCCATAAAGCAATTTTATATGCAAAATTGCAAAATCCTGATTAAATACTAACAAGTTATTGCTGCTAAACCCTAGAACTCTACTGTTATCCAATACAATGCTGTAATACGCTGCAAAAGCTTACAAGCAACTTTTTAATAAGGTTGGAAAAGTAGTGGAAGAAGAAAAACAAAACCAAAAAGCCCTAATTCCTAGAGGACTGATTCCAAAGGGAAGTCACCATCTAATTGAAATAAACATATGGAAATCAGACAATTAGTCTGGCTAACCAGCATCTGCCAAAATACCTTGTTTGAAATGAAAACTGAGCCTCAACTCATTTTAAAATATTAACTTATCATAATTAGAAAACAAGCAAAATTTCAAACAATCAGCAAGAAAGACATAATGTTTGCTTTCCAGTACTTTCGTATTCTATAAGGTCTACAGAAAAACTAAAGGAGGAAAGAACTTGAGACCAATACTGGAAACCTAAGAATTATCGTTTTTTGGAGCAGCACTCCAGCGGAATAAATTCATGAGACTGGAGACATGCACTCCCATAATCCTTCATGAGATGCTCAAAGAACTCTAATAGCAATCTTGCCTGCAACAGCAAAATGTTACAGGAACCCCATAAGTATAGGTATAACTTGCTTAATGGTTTGGAGTATTGCCATAAGAGGAGAGGCTGAAAACTAGGATTCTTCTGCCTGCAGAAGAGAACGATCAAGAGAATCTTATCCATGTGTATAAATATAGATGGAGGGCAATAAAAAAGATAGAGACAGATTCTTCTTAGGGGCATCCAGGGAACAGGCAAGAGGTAACAGCTGCAAATTGCAACACAGAAAGAAAGGGTTTTACCCTAAGGATAAGGACTTAAAATCATAAGAAACTACCCAAAAGAGGCTGTCAGTCTCCATCTCTGGAGAAAAGATATTCAAAATCCAATTGAAAAAGATTCTAGACAGCTTCAAAAGTTGATTCTGGTCTGAGCAAGGGGGCTGGATGAACTACACAATCTCCAGAGACGTCTTTAACTTTGCTATTCTGTGCCTCTGTCAATGCGGAAAAAAACATTAAACCAAAACTAAGACTTTTTAGGGGTTTTAATGGAATGAAAAAACCAAATCACCTGTAATATTTTTCATCAAGGAAAGCACTTACCTGACGTTTTTCCCTTGTTCTCTCAACATCTTCACCAGATCAGCTATTGGGTACTGAGCTTTTGCTGCACACAACCCATAACCTGAAAGAATTTCAAAATTTTAATTTATTTTCCTGTTTTAGTGCACAAAGGCTAGTTGCAGACAATAAGTGTACCTTCCACACAAAAAGATGCTCTCATACTTAAAAATAAATGATAGAAATTAAAAAAACACACATCAGATTCTCATACATTGCCAGCTTGACCACTGTAATGAATGTCTTTTTTGATTTCCTGACCACTGACTGCAGTGATTTGCAGTCAAACTACAAAAGCACTTCCTTCACCTTCACAAAAAGACATATTCCTTTCTCTAGCAGAAAAGGATTTTCAGGCAGGTATTTTGAAAAATTGATAAAAGGGCAACTGTCAGGTTACTTCACAACCATTATCCTCAAGAGAATTTCAATCTGTATAATGGAAATCTAGTAGCTGCAATCGGGCCTTTAGCAGCAAATAATCTTTTCAGTCTCTCTGAGCTAATTCATCAGAGAAACTATACCCAGGAGAAAAATAAAAAACATATATTATTAATGACCTCAAGGTCTGACCACAGGAGCAAGAGCCAAACTCCTTGAAGATGACTGCAAGCTTCCTTAGAAACAAAGGTATCTTCCCAAATTAGAACCCTACCTCACTGATGGTCTCTTTAAAGTTGAAGCAAAATGAAAGATAACTTTGTATTTTAGCATTCTTTACATTCCAGTGCTAAAATGAGTTTAACCTGATAAGTCATGCCATTCAATTGAAGGAGAAGTCTTGAACTGTACCCTACCTGAGTTTTTCTTTCAGGGAATGTACTACTAAATGACATGAACAGCCAACATAATCACTTCAGACAATTCAGGTTTTAGTTTTCAGGTTTTTTTTTTTTTGTTGTTGTTTTTTTTTTACTTTAATTACAGTATTTATATTAACTAAATTTTGGATGGGGGTTTTTCGCCTTTCTTTTTCATAAATCAGTGTAGAATTGAGCAAGTACATGAGAAATGTAAACAAAATCCTGTCTTTCAGGACTTAACAGACCTGTTGGTACAATTGATAGCACTGGTACTATAGCTGTGCTATCAGTTAATTTTGTGTATGGCTTGTTGTGGTGTAAGCTGAACTTACAAAAGATAGTCTCTGTTCTGAAGAATTTACAATGCAAATAAAAAGGACAAACTTTGAGGACACATACACAAAGAAAAATGAAGTGGCATGCATCGCTGCACAGGGGAATGATACCTGACCACGGAACAAAAACAAATCACATGGACCCACTCAACATTTGATATGCTGCTGCCATGCTGCAACCTCTTTGCTGCTACCATTTTTTGGTTTGTTTTGTGGTTTTGTCTGGTTGGGGTATTTTTTTTTAAATTACATCCTCTGAACATCTTGCTGTGTAAGTCAAGAAGAGTCTTACCTGGAGTAATAATAATAGTATTGGCTTCTTTTATCATTTCAACTGCATTGTCCACATTGATTTCTGTGTGAGTTCCAGTAATTTCCATGGGTTTTCCACCAGCTGTTGATGCAGTGCCATAGCCCCCAAGAATCACATTTGCAAGGGAACGGTTCATAGCCTAAAAGAAAGGATGGTTTTGATCATATAAAGATGAAATCCAAAAATAAAGGTGAGAGTGCACAAAGAAAACTTTAGAAAAAGATTTCTGAAAATACTAAATATTTATAAATATAAATATTAAACATTTATAAATAATAAATATATTCCTGACAATAGTATTTATAAGCTGGTTTTGCCTTCTTATAATCCAAAGACTCTTAAAACAGGCTCTTTAAAACAGCCATCACCAAACTTTAGCTTCAAACTCATTACATTACACATGCAGTGGGAGAGCGCCAATATTTCTCCAAAACAAAGTACTAAACTATGCAAATAGCAAATATTTGTCTCTTTTTGTTCTTAAAAGGGAAGAATATGAAAGAATGCATGTTTGATGACAGAGTTTCTAAAATTTTTTTTTACATTGGTATATACCACACACTTTTGTGCAAGATACTTTCCATAGTTTTTAACCAAATCAACATGTAAGCACAGCACTGCTCCATGACAGCATGGAATCCACAAAAGCTATTACAGGTAGTTCTGAAGCAAAACTGCTACAGCAATAAGCAATTTTGTTTGGAAAGGAAAACACAAAAGTAGCTAATCAGCCACACAAAACCAGCCACATTGTAAAGAACTGAAGGGGGCCATGGACTTACTGGCTGCCCACCAAAGGAAAACAAGAGATTTTAACTAGAATGTTTAAGAGGAGAACACACCCTGAAAATCTGGCTCCATTAGACACATAGCCAGGAAAAGCCATTGGCTAAATGCTTTCTTTGGCATGTCTACTTGTGACTGTGGTTCCAAAGCAATATCTGTCAATAACTGGAAATAGGCAAAACTTGTAACTGCGGGGGAGAAAAAACTTTAGAAGCAGGAAAGGAAGAGGATAAAATGCTTCTTTAATTACACATGAGTCATACATCTTCTGTATTAGCTGAGAAAACACGACAAAATTTAGGAATGGATCTGGAGAGACAAAAATATAAGTAGAAGGAAGCACAAAATTGTGCTTCCAGATGTCCACTCTCCACTGACATTTGAAATTATGCAGTTCCACAGGTTTTTTGCTATAGCCTCAGAAAATGTGCCATTCTTTGAAATTTATTATCTAGCAACTAAGCAGAACAATGATGTTAGAACATCTGTTTTTCCTGGTAAATCATCACTGTTTCAGATACTGTAAGGGATGCACACAACCACAGTGAAATCAACATCTTCTACTGTCTGCAGCACACAGTAGATCACATGCCCTAAGAACACACTGCCTTTAGTATGTATCTCAATGTTACAACACTTGTGTCAGGTAAGACAGCCTAGACAGAAAAACACCCTCTGCAGATGTTGCACATGCCAAGCTTACAGGAAGCAAAGCATATCTAAACCAAAAGACAACAGTTAGACCAAGTCAAATGGAAAGAAAATTTAAAAGTTAAAATATTATTATAAATCTAAGAATCAGCTAAAGAAAGCATGAGATTGAAGCACCCTTGCCCAGCTCTGCTGAAAAGTGCAAAGAACGTCCAAGAGAAAATGTGGAAGGCACAGAAGAGCCATAACCTTATCAAGCAATCATTAACCAACATAGCTAGAACAGTGTGACAACTCTTCTGTAGCCTCTTACACCTTTTTTACTACCACAGACCACAAATATAGAGGTATAAAGTGCAGGCTTCATCATGCATTGATAATCCAACAAGTGGCAAAAAGCCCTCTGTACTGTGCGTAAACAAGTAACAACAATGGTCATGAGCTTAAAGTCCAGGGAAAATCAAATACCTGAATCCTGAAAACTGCAAGTGCTTCTACTCTGCCCACAGAAATCTCACAGGAATGCCCAGCATACAATTTGTAAGACTAACATATCTGAAGAATATGTATTGTGTTGGTGTCTTAAAAGAGTCACAATTCACAGGATAAGCAAACAGTCAGGCCTTTGCTTTTTGAAGTTAAATTCTCTGTCCTTAACTCACTTATCAACTGAAGTTTTAAGAGATTAGCTGGACTGCCTTTGGATAATTAAGCTACAGTTTTATCACATAAATTATTTGAAAAATGTTGCAAAAAAAAGGTTTCAACTATTAAGATTTGACCACAAATATCTTTTTACCTGTGCTAGGTAAGTATCAATAAATACCCTAGTTTTGACAGAAATCATACTAAAAAGTAGGGGGGAAAAACCAAAACAAAATAAAAACCCTCAACAAAAACAAACAGAAACAAACTGTAAACAAAAACAACAACAAAAAAAAAAAAGTCCTAAAAAGGGAAGGGAATACTTTTGCTTCATTAGCACAAGTCGAAACACCAAGAGCAGAATTTATTGAAATTCTTGAGCATTTCCTTCTCCTGAAATGCAGCTTCAAGACAATGATACTGAATCCCCTGATTACAACTATGCTTTTAAAAGTAATGATTTCCTTTAAAGAAAGTAAAGCAGAAAAGAAAAATTCTGGCTAAGAGCATGTTATCCTGCTTATTGCGCAGAAATCATACAAAATAATTTTCATTTTACTGGTTGATAAACTTCAGTTGTCTAAACTTATATAAAGCAGCACAGTATTTTCTAGACACTACCTCAAAAACTAAACTTCCTGTAATCTGAGAAACATTGAGGAAAGCCACTCTGTCACTGCTGAAATATTTTGCTAACTACTCTCCCAGGCTTCCTATTTACCTAGGTTCCTCCAACCAACTTTGTATTTCAAAACTCTCTTATGAGTGCTGAGAGATGAGCAATATTAAGAAAGGAAGGACACAGTAAAAGAAAAATGAAGGTATAGATAGAATACTGGTAAATACATACCAAACAGTTCACATTTTTCCTAAGGTTTACAAAAATTCGATCCTTAAAGACCAGAGTTTTCATACCTGTGTTATCCATAAGCACTATTTTCCACTGATATGGACTAAATTCCTGACTGTACACAACTAAATGTATGAGCTACATAATTTGATTTCTTTTTGATAAGGAGACAGAAAATGTTCAAGAAAGAATCAGATTCCTTTCAATTAATTCCCAGAATTGTTCATTTGAACTCATTTTCATGTAGCTGCACAAGAATACCTTTTTAAGCTTTTCTGAAATTCTTCCTCAAGAATGATGGAATGATGAAAAAGAATGATAGTCAACATTCCTAACATGGTAACAATACTATTTATCAGTGGATATGAAGTAAAAGATGATTGCCAGAGCTGACCAGAGGACAACATCAGAGAACAGTGGCACCAATCACACAAGAGCACAAAGGCAGAAATTAAGCAGGATTACACAACAGAGAATGAGAAAGCTGGCAGCTGTTGCACTGCAAACAGTTTTCTTTAAACAATTTCCTCTCCATCTTTGAATACAAGACTTCTATACAAATGTTCCAGAGAAAAGGAGGTCACTACTAATAACACTCTCACACCGAGATGAAGCTCAAGCTCGATGACATACAGCACTGAACTCGTGCAGGACTGCTGCCACCCCGTGGTACTCCGACGTAGCTGCTCTGAAGAAAAGGGCACACCTTAACGCACTCCAAACCAAACTGTAAATCACTGGCTAATCAACCAACACATTTCTTAAAGTATCTCCTGCTACGTATTAATCTAGCTTAAATTTAACCACATTTCAGAAGCTGTATGACTGAAAAATAAATAGCTTACTACAAGTAATCATACTTCTTTTGAGCCCGGATTCAAATCCTTAATGCTTAAGTCAATGCAAGTGCTTTTCTCAGCACTTTTTTCTACTCTATAAATGTCGGAATCTGTGGGTATTGATGATTCCAAGATTGTAAAAAGTCTCTGTCTTTCTGCCCCGTTGCCAAAGAAGAAGCCATAATTCGTCTGTGCTGGTTTCAAGGTTGTTTATTCTTGCTTATCTCTAACATGTTCTGCTGCCCTGCCGCAGGTCTGTCCTGCAGGGCAGCGTGTGGGGCTCTGCCCCCAGTGGGATGTTACAAACATTATATACCAGAAACTACCTGTGCTATATTTACAATAATGTGCCAATATCTATCATCTACGCTGAACAGTGTGTCCCCAGCCTAAACCAATAGAAAAATGCCAACACCACAGTGAAACATGGAGGGCATGAAGAAGGAGAAAAAGGACAAGACACTCCCAATTCCTCCATCTTGTCCCCTTTGAACCCCTAATCTAGAAACCTAAAATTTTACTTTTGCACCCGTGCCACACTTAATTATTACTCATATCAAACACTCAGAGCTTGTAATTCATCCTGTAAAATTGAAAACTCCTCTCCATGGACAGAGATCACAGACAGTGTCTCTCGGGGCTCTGTACAGGGGGGTTCCTGACCCCTGCCAGGGTCCCAGGCCCTCCAGGGCAAACAGAGGGAAGCCCTGGATTCCCACATATAAACATTTAACAGTTTGAGATCCAATGGCTTTTCTTCCTACAAAGCATGGTTTAAAAAGTTTTTTCATTACTCAACAAACAAGCGGAGTTTCTGTTGACTTCTTACCACACACATGATGTAAGAGAGGATGGCCCCAGAGGAGCCAATGAGTGCACCAACAATGGTTAGCAAGTTGTTGTTCAGGAGAAAGCCCTCAGCACACAAAGCCCATCCAGAGTAACTGTTCAGGACAGTAATAACTACAGGCATGTCAGCACCTCCAATAGCTGCTGTTAAAGTGACACCCTGGAGAAGGAAAGAAAATACTTCACATCAGCAACGACTAAGGAGAACACCCTGAAAAGACACTCAGCCTGCAGCACTGAAAATAAATATAGAATCATAGAATGGTGTTGGAAGGGACCTTACAGACCAGCCAGTTCCAAATGCCCTGCCTTGAGCAGGGATATTACCCACTAAATCATTTTGTTCACGGTCCCATCCAACCTGGTCTTGGACACTTCCAGGAATGGGGCATCCACAACCTTTCTAAGCAACTATCAAGTTACTTAGAGCCTATTCAAGTATTGTCAGTGTAGGTATTCAGGCTGAGGACTGCACTTACCAAATCTGCCTTTCCAGAGAGGACAAAAGGTACCCCACTATACTCATGCCCTGCTTAGTTACATTTTTTTACTTGCAAAACTGTTCATACCATTAAGGCATTCATATTGAATGGTCTTTGCAAGACTCAGTTTACAGAATGGCAATATTCAAGGTAAATTTTGCAACACTGGCATACACTGGTGTAAATTAATGGCAGAAGTTACACATGGAAGTCATCTTAAATCACAATAATCTGTAAATCCAGAGCTCTTTTAGGTATTTTAGGGATTAACTTTCTAAAAAGTTTTCGTAAATATCACTCTGTCATATAAGAAACTTCATTAATCAATAGCTGCAGAAGTATAAAAATGCATTCCAATTCTCTGGAACAGTTCTGGTCTACAGCTAGATCTAAAAAAGTCAATTGCTACTTGTTACTGCAAGTTACAACACAGGCAGGCACCATGCCCAGTGTGACTCAGGATGGTAAAATATAATGCGTAAAGAGGAAACTTGCAAACTGGAGAAAAAACTCCCTGTGTAACTTGTTTCACTTTCTACAATTCCTCAGCTTACCATTATGGCTGAGAGTGCTGACACAGAACCCAGGCAAGTAATTCCCGTGGTGTAAGAAGGATCAATCATGTAGGGAACCATCCCACCAATGCTGGCAACCAGCAATCCTGCATTCAATGCATGTCGACCAGGCAAGAGCAGAGGGGCAGAATTCAGGATACCTGCAATCAAACATTTTCAGACATGCACGTGAACATTCAATGAAGCCTGTTGCTTGCCTTCAGAGAAGACTGAGTAACTCAGCAAAATAAAAATTAAAAAGAAAAAAAAAAGGGAGGGGTAGAAGATAAAACAAGTTAGTTAAGCTGAGATCTGCTGACTCAGAATTGCAACATATTCAAATTTCCTCTAGATTCTCAAATAGTCTTCTTTAAACTCTATCTACCTCCTAATTTCAGTAAAGTCCTCCAGAATAGTTAGAAACTATTTTTTTCCTTTTGAAAAGTCTTTTTATTTTTCCTTCAAGTAAGACCTTCCCCATTGTCTCCATGTCTTTGTATGTGGAATATGACACGCAGTAGAAAGAAGCTTTTAGCTGGAACTAGGATTATCTCAGTCTCTCAAAAACAGTGTGCTTAAAAAAATATGACTACACAGCTAACACCAAGTACAAAACACTCCTGCTTTCAAAAACATTAATCTCACAACTACCCTCAGTCACACAGAACTCCCACAGCTTCTCACATCTGCAGAAACTTCAGGAGAAAAGGCAGTTCAGTATTTGTGTGATGCAGCTCAAAAAGACAGTCACATTTATTACACACTTATTTCATACTAGTTTGTTTTTTTTTTCAAACCACATGACAAAGAGTTGAAACAATGCAAGTTTCCCAGTAATTAGTTATATCAGAAATAACAGTGTTCATTTAAATTTGAGGAAAAAAATTTCTTTTAAAATTCATTTTAATGCTATTTCCTTTCATTCATTTTAATTTTCTCATAAAAAATTGAGAAAAGTTGAATTCAAGGGAAAAAACAAACTGATGGTGTCTGTCAAGGGAGTCAAAGTGTGTGACTTACTACCCTTTTCCATATCATAGGATCACTAGTTCACTAGTATAGACAAGCTTTGTATTTCATACCATGACAATATGAAAATGCAAGGGAGAAAAAAAGTAAACAGAAATAGGAAAGCAAGCTCAAACAGGCAGTAAAGTTCATCAGGGACATGTGCACAAATCACTAAGGTGGTAAAATGGTGAGAAAAACAATAACTGAGAAGAAATAAATTAATAGCTACTTAGCAGAGACACATCAGAAATACATACTACTGACAAATCCTTCAAAAGATTATTAGAGAAGACAGCTTTCCATTCTTGTCATATTTCCTCCTTCAATGGCTGTTCTCACAAACACTGAAGAAAGCAAACAGATGTTTCCCAAAGGAACTATTGCAAAGTTAACAACAGGATTAGTAATAGGAAGCTCTTAGCCTGAAATTCTTAGTACAATTATTACCTCAGTTCCTCAAAAGCTCTGTTCTTACAAAACCAAAAATAAATGCAATAAAGAAATTTTCACATGCATAAGAATCAAGAATTAGTGAGCATTTAATTTAGAAAGCGTATTTGCTAAAACACCAAGCGGCATGGAGCATGGAGTCTGCACAGTAGGTAAAAGAGATAGTGAACTGAATGGTTTAAAGTGAGGCAGCCTCAATACTGCAGGCTGCCTACCTTAATGAAGATTGCAGTGTAAAGCAAAAAATCCTAAAAGTATTACTAATGCTCACTGAATCCAGCAACATGTGCCGTATGCTCAGAGTTTCGATCAAAATGTCTGCTCAGAAATACAAAGTTGTGTTCATATAAGTTCAATAAAATGAATTCAAGAAAAAGCATCACGTAGTGTCTTAACACCAAAGCAACACTTATTTCGAGACAAGATGAATAGTAATAATATGTTAAACCACTGAAGACAATCTTTCATAACTAAAGCTGTACACAAATTAAACAGAATTAGAAACAAAAAAAGTATACTCACAAAAATGAAACATATAAACTTTTACCTGGTCCAAAATGCAATGTTTCTTTCCAATCACATAGCAGTCTAAAAGTAGAGCTAAGTCCCAGGAGAAGAAAAACCCTTTAACAAATATTTAATTCTGAATAGAAGGTCTCACCTTGCAGTTTTCCATATGCAACAAGAGAACCACTGAATGTCACTCCACCAATATATGTGCCAAGATATGCCACAATCTTGGTGAGGTCTGCAGCAGGATCAGTGGCAAAGTGAGGATATTCAATCATGTACTCTGCTACACAGGTGAGCACAGCAGCCAAACCGACCAAACTGTGGAAAGCAGCCACTAGCTGAGGCAGATCTGTAATCTGGATGCGTTTAGCAATTGTCAGACCTATTGAGAGTTGAAGACAGAAGAGAAGTCTTAGAAAAGACAGCCCACCTTTCACATACAAATTAATACAGGATGGTTCAGTGTGCAATGATTATATATACACAAGTCACTTCCAACTAGAAATTGCTATGGCATTGAACCGAAGGTTACACGCATGCATTTTATGCATCATGAAAAATAGAAAGATTAAAGCATATCATGTGCTAAGAAGCTTCACTAAATATTGAGAAATTCGTTTTTGTCTGTGATAAAGGCACAGTGTGAAAGAGAGAATTTAGCAGTATTCAGTCAGGAACTGAACAGAAGTATGAGGTGGGCAAGACCATTTACCTCTGGACACAAGTTTCCCTATCAGAGATGATGTGGTCCCGCTTTTCAGTCAGCCCATTCCTTACCACACTGTGAAGCATTAATAAAAGCCCTGAAAGTTACGATATTTTGTTCACACATTTGACAAATAATTTTGCACAAGTCACAAATGTCAGTTAGTCAATTTACCTGTGAGCTATAAAGTATTTTATGTATATACAGGTTGCATATATGCATGCATGGAACACAGATTGTTAGTTCATCATACACATACCTATGGTCCCACCAAGAGCCATTGCACCTGACATCTGTGCCAACAATTCAGGTGAGGGATTAAGGCTTCCAAGAGTTGCGGCCAAACCTCCTGCAACACCAATCATACCCAAAGCATTTCCAAGACGAGCAGTTCCTTGGGTAGACAAACCAGCCAGGGCACCAACACAGCACAGTCCTGAGCCTAGATACATCACCTTTAAAATAAGAAAAACCATCAGTATGAAGCAGTGACAAATTGCACTGCTATAAAAACATCTCTGATAATTACACAAAATAACTGATTTCTCCAGAATGTGCTTTAAGTCACAATTCTTAATTGAAGTTGAGGAACTGTCATACAGGATGAGTTTTTGGCCAATTAAAATGTGATATCTATAAAGTTTTTCCTTTAAAAAAAAAGATGATCCTTTTCTATCTGCAGGAAGAATACTAACTAGAGCCAAACCAATTTTCCACATCAGTTCAGAAGCAATCTTTCCTTTAGCACAAACCCAAAGCTATATGGTCCTGTTCATTCTAGGGATAGTTTCAGAATTTGTTTATGGCAAATTTCAACTAAGAAATAGTTCAGATAGTTCTAAACCACCAGCAAGAGTGTGGTCAGAAGGAGTAAAACTGTGACCATTCCCTATAGTCAGCACTGGAAAGGCCACATGTTGGATCCTCTGTCTAGTTTTGGACACCCCACTCCAACAGAGACACTGAAGTAAGTCCAGAGAAGGGCAACAGAGCTGTCAAGCATCTGGAACATAAGTCTGATGAGGAAGGAGTTGGAGCTGTTCAGTCTGGAGAAAAGGAAGATCAGTGGAGACTTTATTACTCTCTACAACTCCTCAAAATGATATTGTAGCCCGGTGGGAATTGGTCTCATCTCCCAGGTAACAAGTGAAAGGACAAGAGGAAATGGCCTCAAGCTGCTCATGGGGAAGGTTATATTAGATATCAGGACTCTTTTTTTTCATGGAAAGCATGGCCAAACTTTGGAACAGGCTGCCTAGGAAAGTGGTAGAGTCACCATCCCTGGAAGTGTTCAAAAAAACTTCTGGATGTGGTCCTTGAGGACATGGTCTAGTGGTGACCATGGTGGTGGTGCAAGGCTGGCAGTTGGACTTGATCTTAAAGGTCTTTTCCTACATTAATGATTCTGTGGCACTCTATAACTGTTGTTTGCAAAAAGTATAAACAAACTTACATGAACTGAGCTATATATGTCCAGATAATTGACAAAACACAAATACATTACAAGCCCCTGCCATAACAGTATGTCTAGATTCACTTTTTCCAAATGCACAATGCAGTATAGATTTATTTTTCTTACTATTAAAACAAATGTAAACAAAAGTTTACTATAAAAGGTGTTACAGATAAAATCCCTCTATATCCGTCTGTGCTGAAAACTGATCCCATCCCTTTATAACTGTCATGACAAGTTGAACTTTCAGAAACATTTAAAAGAAAGACTGATTTCTGTAGTTACTGTATTATTTAGACTGCAGTTTAGGAAAACAGTCCAATAAATAAAAGCACCTGCTATGTTAACACAAAACCAACCAACAACAGAGCTTTTAAAGTATGTTAGCTATGTAACTGCAAGCTTTCAGGGTATCAACTTCAGACTGGCCTTGTGGGAACATGCAGCTGATGGAAAGACCTTGGATTATTTGTTATTTACTCCTTAACAGAACAGACACGAAGAAACATAACACAGCACTGGGCTAAGAGCCATGAAGTTATCTTCTTACTTGTTCAATGTTATAGCCACCACTGAGAGCAGCTGCATAGCCTCCTACAAATACACCACCAGGGAGCAGGTACAAGTAGTTGTACTCAGGAGGGTCTGTGGGACGTTTGAACATATCCAGCATTCTCTGTGTAACTAAAAAGCCACCTGAACAAAGTAAAGGAGCAATCTTTAAAAAATAAAATCTGAAATCAAGCACATTCCAAATGATAAAAGAAATATTTAGTAATACCATATCATCACACAATTTAGCAACCAATAAAGCTAGTAACCTAGAAAACTACCAGGAAACAAAAGTATAATCAGGATTAGATCATGCTGTCTCTTTTAGCCTATGGAAGAAATTCAGAAGAAAAGGAGGACTTGCTCTGGCTCCATACTTTACACTGACTGTAGTATACGGCTTAGTTTATGACTGCGTTCTTTCATACACCTGCTCTAGCAAAAGCAGTATTTCTAAGTCACATAATCCTCACTTCATTGTCTTTTTATTATTGAAGTTGGGACTTCTGAAGCTCAAGGAAACAAAATTTTGTTCTATGCCACTAGTATGTATTTCAAGTAGGAAAATTAATAGAAGTACAAATCCTCTACAACTACCCTTTTGGGTTATACAGGAAAATATATTGTATATAATTACCACCCAAATTTATGAAAGGAAAATGCACATTTAAATAATTCCTAAAAGAGGTTACTCCACAGGGTATGCAAAATACCTATAATAACTACTGTGAAAATAGGAGAGCTAATGCGTTTTTATTGATAAATGCTCTCAAATTCTATTCTCAGACTAGTATTTCTGGAATTATAAAATTAAATAAATAGAAGAAATTTTAAAATTACACTAGTACTTGAAGTTATCATTGGGAGAAAAGCTGACTTTCATACCTGCAATATTGACTGAAGATATAAAGGCTGAAAGCATTGCTAGGCTTTGGGAAATGTTTTGGGGGAGATAGTGACCTCCCATCAGTATCAGCCCACCAACTGCAGTCAGACCTATTTAAAAGAGAAAAAAGTGTTACTGGAAAAGGTTACTGTGTAACCTTAAAAGGCTCTATACCTATAGGAAGTTTCCTTTCCACAGCTGGACCAGTCAATTCAAATTTTGACCTCCACTTCACACATTAATGCTTAAAAGAAGATAACCATGGTCTTTTTCAGGACTACAATTGTTCCAAAAAAAAAAAACAAAAACGAGTATATGAATGTAGTTTTGAAGAACAGTGAGAACAGTGCTTCAAGCACAGAGTTAGCCATGTATATGTTCAATAAAAGAAACATTTTTTTATAATAACCAAAGTAGATCACTTGTGACCTGTCACATACAGCCAAACACAGATACATAAAATCTTACTTATAAGAATTATGAATTTTATGGGTATTTTAGGATTTATTTTCTTTTTCCCCCTCTCTCAAAACACATAGTTTGAGGAGATGAATAGAAGAATGTAAAAAACAGGAAAGATAAGTTGTTTTCAGGGCAATCTTTTGAAGAGGTGGGAGGAAAGATGTGGTCTACAAAAAGAGACTGCATCACTCTAAGTAAAACAAACTTTTAAGCAAATAGGTCAAGTGTAAAAATTACTTATGAAAATTAAAAGGATACAGCATGACTTTGACCTTTCTTTTGAAAAATCATACTCTCAGAAATACACTGTTTCAGGCATCCTTGCTATTTATGAAAATAAACTCAAACATGCACATTTAGTACTAATTCAGGTAAAAGAAGTTGTGCCTTCTTCAAGTAGAAGACAAGCAGCTGTGTGACAGCTACTTACCTGAGATAGCATTAGTCACAGACATGAGTGGGGAGTGCAGAGCAGGAGTCACACCCCACACTGTGTGGTACCCCACTATTCCAGAGAGGCCAAATGTCGTCACCATTTGTGTGAAAGCAGCATTAGGTGCTACAATGCCCAGCCCCAACATACCAGCTAAACCTAGAAGGAAAGCACAGGAAAACTCTAACTTTCCAATGACTTCTTAGATTTAAACTGTATAAACAGGAGCCTAGAAGATACAAAAGCAAAATGGAATTGTCTGCGTGGACTAGTTTCAAAATCAGGGAGATAATTTTTTTCAAATACATTAAGTTCTTTCAGTGCTAATCTTTCCTTTGTAACAGAAAATAAAGCCATAAATATAATCCACACATATTTGTTATGCATGGACACAATGCAGCAAAGACAGGTTTCTACACCAACACTGAATCCTGCCACTCTTCTGCTCCATAGAAAAAACGTAGAAGTCACAATTATGTTGAAATATTGCTTGGGTGTATCAGGGCATATGTTTGAAGAACAGGAATTAAAATTAAGACTACTGAATTCATTAATTACTTCATGCAAAAATTCTGATGCACTGAGAATTTGTTACTGAGAGTAACAAATGAAACTAAGAGCCAATACATATTTGTCAAAGCAAAGTCCTATTTCCAATACTTCAGTAGACTGTGGCAACTTAAGTCTCACACAATACAGTAAAATCTGAAGAAAGCAACAACATTGAACTGATTTTGCCGCAAAGTATGGGCACAGTCCCTGGTAGGAGTCCTTCAGAATTTAAAGCATTTTACTAATATTTAAGTAGAGTTAAACCCATATATATGGAGAGAAACAGCACTTGTTGAAACGTCAAATACTTTTGGTAAAATTTCAGAAGTTTTATTTTCCCTCTCAAGCAATTCTTATACTATGCTGGTTTTGTACCAGGATACACCAGCCAATCAACTGCACTCCCAAAGAGCTATTCAATTGAATGAGTTAGATGATGGGTCATTCAAAAGTATTAGTGCTTAGTATTAGTGTGAGAAGTACTCTACACTGATTCTCCAGCTATGGAGAATATATACCTGCTGTGTATATAGATGCAGTAGTCATGGTTTTTCTAAAAGGTGTAATAGTAGCTGCTTTTTCTGCTTCCAGCTCTGCTACAGTCTTCTGCTTCACTGGCGCTCCCTGAGGAATGTTATTTGGTGGAGGTGCTGGGAAAATCACTTTGCCATCCTGACAAGAGATATTTACAGTTATGCCTAACATGACAGATGCTTAATACTTAGAGAAGCCTTTTCTTCTTAATCAGGCAATTCAGGCAAGTGCTAATATCCTACAGCCATGCCCAGGAACTGGCTTTTTTTCTGCATCAGCAGAAGTTTGAAAGGCATGACCAAATTAATCATACTGGTTTACACATTCCTCAGACAAGATTTGATATTAGTGTCCAGGAGTACCTGGTAAAGAGACACCACAAGGCTCCAGAGCAGAAACAAGAGAAAAGCAAAGAGATAAAGTTCCTTAAGTGGAAAACATGTATGCAAAATAAAATTAAGTCTTGGAAATAACAAAATCTGCTACAGATGTGAACTATAATCACAGACTTTCCAGACCTCAGATAGGAACAAAGGATGATATCCCACATTTCTTCTTAATCTTCAGGCCTTTGTAAAGCTATCAGCACAGAGCTGTACACACCACTTCAATGGTCTGGGAGAGCTGAAGTCTATGCCCTGAGTTTTTATTTTATTATTTTCTGATAAAGCTTCAAGCATTTTGCATATTCTAGTTTCACCATTTTTTTTATCTTACTATGAAAGGAACAGGTGTTTTTTTTTCCTCTTAAAAAAGGAAAAATGTTTTTCTGGAAGAATGTTTTGGTCTGGTAAAGCCTCAAATATGTTTTAAGTAGCTACGTATGTTATCTTTTTCCTATTTTTTCATTAGTAAATACATTAGGTTTAACCTTGACAAGAAGACAAGACTAAAAAGAAACAGTATAATTTTCAGCTGAATAAACACACAATTACCCACACGTTCCACAAAGCTACCTCTGAAGTCTGTTGACATGCACTATCTCTGAACACATTTTGAAGAAACAGAAATGATAAATGTTAAGTCTGTACTCACAAATTAAGAATAGAGTATTTACTGGCTTACCTTCATTACTACAGTTCCTCTAACAACATGATCCAGAGTCCCATAGTCAAAGTCATCTTTTGGATCAAAGTAGAAGTTTTCTTTGTCGGGACTAATAGCTTTTAGAAGTTTGATAATATTATTAGAATACAGGGTACTGGCCTGAGTAGCCATTCTGCTAGGCAGATCGGTGTACCCAATGTGTGTAACACCCTAAAAAAAAATCCAAGTAAAACAATAAGGATTTGTACAATCTCTGAAAAAGCATAATCTCTTCCAGTATATCCTTTTGAAATACCTATCCAAACTGTACCACTTATCTTGGTTTATAACCCCAACTAAATTGGCTACCCGCAGCTCTGATACTACTAAATCAGGGACAGATCACTTAAAATAGCTGCAGAATCCAACATTATCAAATCTAGTACCTTAAACTCTATTAGCAACAGGACTTCACAGAGAGGAAGACATATTGGTGCAAGAGCTTGTCTTCTCCAAATCCTACATTCTCTCAGAACCTAAATTCTTTAAACAATCAGGTAACAGATTAATCCACCTAATTCTTGGCATCTTAGTTTTTCTGGAAGACAGGCTCTGGAGACAAGTTTCTGTATACCAGTGGAGTGAAGGGAGCTCCCCCAGAGCTGTGCAAGAGATATGTCTGAGTTGATATGAATGTAAAAATGTAACCTAATATATCCTCACTGCTTAAAGAACTAATGAGAACTAAAGGATATCAGCTTTAGGAAGAAATGGGAAGCTGAGGCTGGCATACACTCTAGGTGTTCAAAAGCAGGCTTGTGTTAAAACACTGCTTCCACAATTTACATAAGCTAAGATACATACATGCTTTAAGAACTCTGGCTTCCTAATACAATGCTCTGGCACAATCCTAATAGTTCTGCTATTTTCCATAACACAGAGCCAGTACACTAAATCCAGGGTTAATACTCCTCTGACTAAAAGTGTTCCATATAAACCCTTCATGCATATATCTGCTTACTTGTCTTCTACATTCTCTAGTTTCAGGTTTTAAGCAATGACATCAAAAGCCTTAGAAAGCCATAAAGACAAATGCAACCTGTGATTCTTTGATATATACAAACAGAATTCTGCTTATGCCAATGACAACCATGGCAGCATGTCCCACAGGCAAATAAAGATATTACATCCTTGCATTACCAAATAGGAAATCTGCTACTATAAATCTCATCACCCAGATTTCTGTAGTTGTTAGCAAACTTCCCATAACTACCAAAAACAAAACCCAAAAGAAAGACAAGTTCTCAAATGAGAAATGTACACTGGAGCAAAACTAAAGTAGTTCAGTCCAGACCAAAACTGCTTACTTTAAGGAACCAATTTATGCTACATCTTGTTTGGGTTTCAAGTGCTTTGGATACTCTATGGGAGACACACTCTTGTTCCTGAAGATAAAGAAAAGCAAAGCCAGCACCCTCCTGAAGCTGAAATAGTACTGAGTAAGCCAGAGACCTTGTACTGAAGTAAACACTGAGAGTCTGAACCTGCTTAGCTTTGCCTATGACAGGAAATGTTAACCTCCAGTCATGGGAGGTGATAAGCAAATCAAAGAACCTATTGCTACTGCTGTGTTTTTTAGATAGACCGAGAAATAGATAACCAAGAAATAGATATCATATCCCACCTTCAACTCAGAAGAGAGAAACACCGGACTTGGAAGTTTAATTAGCAACAATTACGTAATATCCATTAACAATTGAATTAACACTACACAAAGATGTTAGTTTCTTTAGAAATATTCAAATTTATGCATATAAATAGTGACCAAATGCAAATCTAAAGGATTACTTCAGCCCAAAGCAGCTGAAAGACTGTTGAAAATTCAGCTGCTTCTTTTCAGCATATGGTTTACAAAACTCCATGGAAGTTCAGGTGAACTGAGAATGAATTGCAGATTAAAATGCTTACCTTATGAACATACATTTCCCCAGGCTTTGTAGTCTCAATATTTCCTCCTGCTTCTGCAGCTAAATCCACAACAACTGAACCTTCCTTCATTGATTCAATCATATCTTTCTTAAACAAGATTGGAGCTTTTTTTCCTGACAAAACAAGGCATAATAAGTTAAACAAAATACAGCTTTCTATCTGTTGAGCTTAGGAGAAGACTTCTCCTCTTTGCTCTACATATAAGCTTTAATTTTGTAAGCAAAATTTTCAAGTAATTGGTACCTATGATTAAAAAAACACAAAAGTTTTTTTTTATAAAGACAGAAGAAGTGCTAGAACATCCTGCTCCAAAAGCTTAGAAGAAAGTTATGCATAGTAGTCTACTAAAGATTAAGTCCAATTCTGCCAGCAAATCGACAATCTTAATATCTAATCTTACAATTCCAGGCCATAAGGAAAAAAAAAGCCACCATATTGCAAGCTATTAAAATACAAACATTGTGCAACACAAAGCACTAAAATCTAAGCTCTACCTTATTATGTTTCAATTAAAAAGGACAGTTCCATTTCAATCAGACTTTTTCTTTGTTTCAGTACATAAGTTGTATAGCAAAGATAGCAGTGATGCAATAGATATGCAAGAGAATTATATATTCTCACTTTATTAATAAATACTCCTTTTTTAGTAAGAAAAACATGACAGTATTTGATCCATACTGATAGTCTTTGAAAACAAAAGTTGCTTAAAAAAAAAAAAAGGGACTCACTTTAAAACCAGGCCTTTATCACAGAAGTGAGGCACGTGCTCACCAGACGTAATTCATTAATTATGTTTTCATGTAGATGCAACCTCAAAATATGACAACTTACCTAGAAGAAAGCAAATTAGCATTTTTCACATAAAACATACCTGGAATAAGTGCTGTAGTGATGATAATGTCAACATCTTGGCACTGTTTGGCAAAGAGTTTCATTTCAGCTTCAATAAATTCTTTGGACATTTCTTTAGCATAACCACCTTGTCCCTCTCCAGATTCCTTTAAGTCTACTTCCAAAGGCTCAGCACCAAGAGACTTGAACTGTTCCAGGGCTGCAGCTCTAGAAAAAGAAAATTGTACGTGAGAGAAAAATCACAACTTTAAAAATGCATCATGACTTTACCAGTGGTTTTAGTAGCAATCTTCAGACAAGAGATGTAAAACTTATTCTAGTATTAAGGAGACCATAACAAAAGTCTTCAGCTTTCTGTATTTAGTGCAAAAAAATAATTGCATTGACAAGTTTAGGTTCCAGTCAGATTTTAATAATACTCAGTAGAGTTTCTTCAAGAAAAACCTCAAAGATGAGGCTTTGCTGATTAACTCTCCTCATGCATTTCTGTTGTCATCACCTGGTAAACCTACAGCCCAAACCAAGGTGCCTAAAATGGAAGATAAGCACAGAACCCGTGACCTTGTCTTTAAATAGTAAGATGGGAAGTACTAGCAAGTCTTATTTTCACAGCGAAAACTACCAGGGGGTGGGTGTTTGTGGGTTGTTAATATTCTGTAATTTACTTTGCATCATATGACATCACATGAACCAAAGAGACTAAATTTCAGTGTTAGGTGAACAGTGACAACATAAAGAGAATTAAACATAAAAGTTCTTTAATCGCAAGATAAAGATACCTAGTGTGCTTAAGAAATGAATTAAAATTAAAATGGAAAAGTTTTAGACAGATTTTAAAATTAATAAAAAATTAAGGACTAATGATGGCATAAAAATGGTAGGAAACTAATTACGACTCAGTGTAGTACAAATTATTTCACTCTAATACAGCCAAAAACAACTTAATCTTCAAGTAATTTTAGATTGATATTACAATTTTCACACCCTTACCTAGTATCAAATCCACGAACCACTGCACCCATTGATTTTGCTGCTCCTGCAGAAGCCAGGCCAGCAACCCCTCCTCCAATGATCAGCACCTAAAATGATAAATCTCATTAGCCAGCCATTTAAACAAGATGCTTTAGGATAAAATCAAATAAAACCAAATTTCATTGGGCAGAGTTGCCCCATACATCCAACAGTTTAAAAGTTGTACCTCCTAATTACATATATTTAAGAGCCAACTCTTCTGTAGCTTACAGTTTATCTAAGTAAACACATGTTTTCTCCTTGATTTATCTTCCTTTTTCTTCCCTAATTCTACTTTCATTTCTCTTCAACCCAATCTATCTGTAATTCCAATCAGGTAAATTCTTTCCATTGCACTCCTCAATGCACCAGAAATACCAGAAATATTTCTGAATTTTCTTAACTGCTTCCTTACCTTCTTGTATTTTGAAAAAAAAAATAAATCCAACTGCTTATAGCTAATCTGATGTTTAAAACTAAGCAAACTTAAATAAAACTCAAATTATTCTATTATTACCAAAACAAAACCAGAACAGATGTGAACAAAAAGTTCCATGAGAATAATTACACTGATTGCTGAAGTTTCTATAAACAGCCCAAAGGCAGGAAAAAAGCCTTTTAACATAGTTTCAGCAACAGCTACCTTTGCTCAGAAATTCACATATTCTTTTGCCACACAGTGTGTTTAATTGCACATACCTTTGCTGGAGGAACTTTACCAGCAGCTGTGATTTGACCCGTGAAAAATCGACCAAAGTGATTTGCTGCCAGGACCACAGCCTTGTAACTGTCAATCAAGAATGAACACATCAGTGTTTTCTCAGATTCAGTAAATTCCATTAATTACATCAATCTAAAAGGTGAATATTTGACCAGAATATGTGTAGGATAAAGCAAGCTTAGTATTTTATCATTGAACACAAGCTTAATAGTCTTTATTATTTCTATGGAGATGTCTGACAATATTTGATCTTTTGTTTGTAACTGCCATGGCAATTGCGTTCACACTGAGTGTTCTTTGGGTTAGTTAGCTCTTAACAATACCAGATCTCCATGACAGACAATCTGTATTCAAGATAAGTAAAATCAGAGCAAAAAGGTACTAGACAAAATAGTCAAGAAATTAAAAGAATTGTGTTCAATTTTGTTTATTTTAAAAGCATTGCTCTGATCTGCTGTAAAACTAACCATAAAATACTTTAACACCACCCTGCTTGAAACAGCTCTATAAAAACAGAGATGTAGAATAATTTTAAATATACCTAATATCAAAGCACATAATTTTAAACCAGATATACTTAATTAAGCCAAAAAAAAAAAAACAAAACCCAAAAAACACAAAAATCATACCCAGCAATATTGGCCATGGAGCTAAGTGCATCATATCCCTGAGCAATGGTGACCCGTGGAACCTGATCCATAGCCAAGACAGTAGCTTCTTTTTCTGCAAGTTTTTTCAGGAGGTCTGGATTTTGTGCTGGGTAGATAAAACTAATCAGGGTTGCTGCTGTCTTGAAAAGATCTACCTCATGTACACCTAGAGATGAGTTATATATAGGAGCTCTCACCTGAAAAAAACCAAAAGTTTCCAAGTTAATCAGAGGAGAGAAACCAGAACACATTCCACTTCCTTTCCCTCAGGTTGCATTCTGTTCATTCCCATCCAAAAGGTATGGAAAGAAGAATGTATATCAAAGACTATTTACACAACTGAACTGAGTAACTGCACTTCTCAGCTGCAGTCCACATCATGGAATGAGCTCTAGGTGGATTGGTGACAGGGCAAAAACTGTCAGCACACACCTTCACAAATATCTGATGACTTCCAACTAGCAGTCACTTGCTTTTACAACAGACAGCTACCCTCAAACCCACAATTTTAAAGCAAAATGATTACTTAACAGATATGACAATTAAGCTCTACAAACTAAAAATCACTAATGAGGTTGTAGTGCATGACTACATACAGAGCATTTCATGCCAGATATCCAGCAGACACTGATCTTCATCTATATTCACTTCTGAGTTTCTCACTTTTCTCCAAACAGAAACCTACTTAAAAGAGTGGCTCACAAAGCAGCTCACAGAAATTCTGTGTTCAATGCTGATAGGATAATTTTAAACAGAGCAATTGAAGGAAGCCTCAATAAGGCAAAGGTCTTTTTTTTTCCCTTCAGGACTCTGCACAACTTAATACCTCTCAAGTAAGATTGCTTTTAAAACTTTTCTCAAATTTTTAAACACATCTTTGCTGTGGAATTCAGAGAAGGTACACAATCATATTTTCTAAATCCCAAACCACTCTATTTAAAGAGTAACTAGAGTTATATGTTATCAATTTTGGATAAAAGATTTCTTAGAGCAGAGATCTCATCTGATTAGATTCCAGAACTAGTCTACCTCACTCTAGAAAATACAACAACTCTTAGGTAGTTAAAAACTTGCTAGAGATATTATCCACATTTTTTTCAACACTGTAATTTATTTTTTTAGGGTAGCTAGTGTACTTTTTTGTAGTGTAGCTTTTTTTTAGTGAGCTATTAAAAAAAAAAACAAAACTTGAATCAGAACTCAAAACAAAAAACACTAATTTAAAGGACCTTGCTTACTGAACTTTCCACAGATTATCAGAAAAAAAAATACCTATACATTTCTCCAAAAACAATGTAATAGGAAATATACTAATAAAGCAATTACTTTCACAATCAAATCAGAAGCCAGGACTTCCTTGGTCCCCTGGATCTTTGCTCCAACTTCTCTGTAATGGTCATCAGAAAATTTAGAAGCTTCTCCAGCACCAGATTCCACCACAACACTGAAGCCTTGCTTAACCAAGGCTTGAACTCCAGCTGGTGACAGAGCCACTCTCTTCTCATTTTCAAATATCTCCTTGGGGACACCCACAGTCAGTTGTTTATAAGGAATTCCTGTAAGAGTGGCAGATAAGACAGATTAGTTGTACTAAACATTAACTAACTGGCATAATGGACACTCTTCAATGTTGTACAGATACATGCAGACACATGTCACAGTTAGCAATTTTCCCTCCTAAGGGAGGAGGAAGCAGAATGCTATTTTCTAGGAACATCATTTACATTTCCTTAAATTGCACCATCTTCCTAGAGATCCTTGATCTCTAGCAATCCGCAGGTGAGCACAATCAGCCACACAAGCAATAACAAGTGTTTGGCGCAGTTCATACTCATTGTTGTTTATACAGTTCTAATTGTGTAACTGGCATTCTGATTTACATAATACCTGGTGTACTGGTGATAACACATTCTGCCTCAGGCCAGAATTTAAATCACTTTCTAGTCATTTCCAGGTTATTGTGAAGAAAGAAATAAATGAGCTTGAACAGTGGAACTGCATTTTAACTGAATATGTTTGTAATACATTACAAATTATTCCAAATCACTATTATTGAATGCTACATGCACACCACAAAGTACACTGAAAGGCATAACTACATCAATAAGCTACTCTAAGAGCTGCCAAAGAAATGAAAAATGTGAATTCAGAAGTAGCTGAAGAAAAACAGAATATCCAGCTACTAGTTTCTTTAAAAATATTTCTCTTCAAAGTTATTTCTTTTTCTTAACTTGTTCAAAGTTCCACTAAGTAACACCACGAAACTGCTGAAGCTGAAATTTATGTTTTAGTTAAAGTTTTCAAATTACAAACACCTAACCTTATTGAGTACCATCTGGGGGCTTTCAGTCTCATATCTGGTAGGTAAACTTCTCTGATCCAAACAAGTGTTCAAATACATTATTTATGAATACATAGGTTCAAGCAGAATAATCATACATAAAACTATTACATTGCTTCAATTACACTGATAGCATGCAGTCCAACACAGAGGCTGAATCCTATACCAGATTTCACTGACATCTATCCAGAATTTAAACCTGGATTGTGACATTACTATGCATGACATTTACATCACATGAATATTAATGAACTATAATTTGAGCAGTCTAAGCAGTCACTCATATTAATGATCAAGCAACAACAACAGCAACAACAAAAAAAACCCACCAAAGAAACTCCAAACCTAAAGAAAGGGGAGGAAGAGGATGAGAGGTTTGTTTAAAATCACAAATCTCTTTGAAATTGTCCAACAATACTATGTATTGAGCTACAAAAAAATTGTACCAGGCAAAGAACGTAAATTTTAGGAAGGCCTCCTTTTGACTTGGAAATAGAAACAAGCAAAAAAAAAAAAATCTAAAAATGTACTACAATAGAAGAGCTTTGAGGAACTAAATTTAGATTTAAAATATCAAAATTATTTATCTGTGAAATTGAACCTGGACTAAAATGTGCCTCAAGTTGACAATCTGAAAATGTTTTTGGTTAGAAATTTTCAAGGTACTGTCAACTTACTATGTTCTGAAAAAACAGTACAGAGTTGCTAAAACTGGTACTTAAATACCTACTTATACTTCTCAGCCTACTAACACATTAAAAAAAAATTAACACATCCAACGAGACAGAATGAAAGCTCACCAGACAAAAAAGTTCATTACTTCTAATTGCTGCAGCAGGGGAGGATTTCCTGAGACACAGGAGCTTCAGGTTGGATACCAGGAAGTTCTTCACTGAAAGGATGGTTAAGCACTGGAATGTGTTGCTAAAGGGAAGTGGTCAAGTCACCATCCCTGGAAGTGCTCAAGAAATGACTGGATGTGGCACTTAATGCTATGGCTTAATTGACAAAGTGGTTTTCAGTCAAAGGTTGGACTTGATCTTAGGGGTCTTCTCCAAACTTAATGATTCTATGATTCTAATTACTTCTACTTTTTTTTTTTTTTTTTTAGCTTTGCCTTTGAAATTTGACTAGTAAAATAGTAACAAATAATTTGAAGACAGAAGTGTTTTAATGTTTTATATGTTGGAGAACATTTGAAAAATTTTAATCACAAGAGAACACTCAAATTCAGAAAAACATACATTCATAGAACATAAAGTCAAAACAGAAGCAAAAATGCACATCTAAAACAAAAGACCCACAAAGGTAACAGAGCTTTGCAATGGTTTGTTCCACCAGCACACACTAAATCTAAACATCACCGTGCAACTCAGGCCATACCCACCACAGCAGCATTGAACATTGTTACCAGCTGTGGTAACTTGCTGTCACTCAAATTACCCTTCTCATTTGAAGAGACTTTTCTCCTCATCTCTTCAAATCACTACACAATAAAGTCCTGCTTCTGATTTTCACTAAATCAACTCGGTGGAAATGAGCTCTTGTCTTTTAGAAGCAGGAATGAAACCTAGAAGATTGAAATTTGTTAGGACAACAGAGACGAATCAGAATTTCAGAGAGGAAGTAGCTCTAGGGTAGGATAGGATGTAAAACACTTTTCAAAAAGCACTAAGAAAAGTTAAGAACCGAAGTCCTACCTTGCCTTTCTCCTTTTGGAAGTTTTTCTAGGACAAAAATGCCAACGGGGAAGAAAGGAGGGGGAAATATTGCAGAAAATAGGGGAAAGGAAAAACAGGAGGAAAACGGGGAGGAAAATAGGGAGGGGAAAGAAGGAGAAAACAGGGGAAGGAATAAATTATAGCATTATATATATATATATATAATAAAGGAAATAGATAACTGCAAATTTAAAGGCACAAATACATTTGACTAAAGCTTTTCATTTTCTCAAGCAAATCTTTTTGCTCCTAAAGCTCAAATGGGAAAAGATGCTTCTAATTTCCTTTTGCTAATTTGCTTCTGTGTGGAGTATCAGAATAGAAGCGTAAATGGCTAGGAGTAAAAAGACAGAAATACACATTCACTAGATGCCAGGTATGTTTCCTCATTCCTCACCAGTTCTTTATTGTACATCTTGCATGCAATAAAAATTAATACAACTTTTTCAAATAGCAAGTATTTGCACCGTATTGAGTAAACAGAATGATCACAGACCAGCACTGAGGAACATGATCTTCTCCAGAGCTTTGGGAGATCAAATCCAAGATAAATATTCAACAAGTCTCATTTGTCTCACCTACTTTTCTTCTCTGTCCCACTACCAGAACTCCAGCAATCCATAAACACAAAAGCAAATGAATACATAAGCAAGCCGTCAGTTTGCCAGCTTTTAGCTAGAGGACATTTTTTAAGTAGACTGCCCTGAGCTTCCACATGATTCAGCACCAAAATGGAGCAGATATTTACAGCTGAAAAACAAAGATCTATCTTAAAACTGCAGTACAGGTCTTGGTGGGGGGAAGAAAAGGAAGAAAAGGTTAAAAAGCAGGACACTGGCAGAGAGGATTGCAAAGCTCCCTTTCAGCTGGAAATAACTCTTGATAAGCCTATGTGAACAGCAGGTCTGTCATGATTTACTGGTGCCTGTGTCTCCACTTGTTTTCCTCTGCCCGCTTATTTTCCTCTGCCCAGCTGCTGCTTCAGCAACACCTCATTATTGAAGTAATGGATTCTAGACACGACTTTGTGGCTGTCCCACCTACCTGTCTGCGCTGACATGCACAACAGGGTATGATCAATACTCTACCTGGTGGAAGTTTTGTAATTAACCCAGATTTGGTTTGCTGGATTCAGCAATTTCATCAAAGTCAATAGTTTTGAAAGGTTGAAATCTCAGATTATAAACTTAGGACCTTGATTTAGGTTTTATTTTGAGGAAGCTCATGCTATCCCTGCCAGGGGTTTAAAGTTATGTGAGAGTGTGAAGCCTACAAGTTGTCTCTCTAATCCTTCATGTCAGATAATCTCTTTAAGTACTGCCTTGAGTATGTTTTAGTGACTTACTACTTTACAACATCATGGACATCTTCCAAATACTGAGTGATATAAACACACCTGAAGCATCTTTTTGACTCATGAAATTTTTTAATATATTGAGTAGAAGGTACACAGTACTTAGATTCTGACACTATCAGAAGTAGACTCATTAAATTTCACAGGTCTTAGAATGGAATATACATTCCAGTGAAACCCTCTGGCACATACATAACGTAGAACCTCTAAAAACTAGTAAGAAGCCATTCTCTCATTCCCTTACCACAATCCTAACTGTGTAATGAAGACATATTCAAACTTCAAGTAAACAAAACTATAACCGTGACTTTCTCCATGTAACTTCTATATACAAGAATCTTAGAGAAGATTCTAAGTCAAAACTATAGCAGAAAATACAGTTTTTTGATGTCCTTAACCTGACTTTGAGAAGTAGTCTACAACAAAACAGTATCAACCAACAGGAACTGACTTAGGGAAAAGATAAAGGAGAAGTTCTGACTATATGCCATGTGTTCTGAGATTGAAAACAGGATGCCTATTTTTTATGCTTCTCTAATAACCTTTAAACAAACCATCTCACCTGTTCTGAAGATGAGGACATATTCCAAAGAACAGCAATATGATGTTGGCAAAAAGAAAACAAATGGTACAGAAGATTAAATGAACACCCAATCCCTCCTATTACATAAATAAGGAATTTAAAAAAATAAAACAGAAATTAAAGGATAATATTTCTTGTTTATAAATAAAATAAAGCTTATTTTTAATTACAGAACTAATTAAAAATGAACTGTTATAGGTTTAGAAAAAAAACCCAGGAAATTTTAAGAAATAAGCCTCAAAATAAAAAGGATATTTAAAATTCCAAAATGGAGAGGGGTAAAAGTCACACAGCTATAGGACAAACTAACCTGGAACTATACTGGGAAGCTCAGTCAGTTACTCCATTTGCACCTTCCCAGGGCTTCAGAAAGTTTTGTACCTGTTTCTCAAGTAGCTGGTCCTAGTGAGTACCTGGCACAGATTATAGGAATAGTTGTTTACACCTGTATGAAAGTTCCTATGTTTCCATTAAGGAAGTAGCAGCATAATAGCTGGCAGTAAGAAAATTATCCATGCTCCAAGTTCACTTTTCAGCTGACTCCGTATCTCCGTATTTCTTGTCCTCAAGCAGCAGTTATGTTCTTGTTCATAACATAGCCTGGAATGAAAGCTAACCTGAGACAAGGAAAGCAGTAACTATGGCCTTCAGAAGAATCACTGTGACACTAGCCTTTTCAGAAAACTTCCTCTTCTTAGTAAGGCAGCGATTTTGCCAAGTGTTACAATAATCAAAGCTAATTTCTGAAAGACTAAAATACAGTTACTTTGAATTTGTTACATTTTGATTCAAGAGTGCTTAAAAAATAAATATAAGAAATAGCCCTGCTTCTAATTTGTCATTAAATTTCTGTTTTCTCCTTGATTTGTCCTCTACTGAATGACAAATCACATGTTACCAAAGCATACTACAAGGACAGCTTAATTATCAACCAAAAGACTACCAAACTTGTAATTCTCCATATTAAATAACTGCATTTAATGAATACTACTGGTCCTTAAATAAGGATTTACACACAACAGATTTGACAGGGCAGCATTGAGCATTTAAACATATGACACTAATCAGAATTCTCCATCCTTGTGGGAAAATTTTTCAAAAGTTATTCTTAAAAATGAGAAAATTCACACACACACAGAGTAGCATACCAGTTTCAATAAAACAGAAGAGATTCTTTAGTTTTATGATTAAATTTGTGGTCAAAGCCAAATACAAAATTGATTCCAAACTCAAACAAGGACACTTACCTGGGATATTTGAGAAAGAACTTTGAACCTAGTTTCTTATGTTCCAGTTTATCCTCCCAACCAAGAGACAATCTGCCATATGAAGACTGACAGATATCTCTTTCATTCAGATATTTAACACGGAAAAAAAAGTTGAGAACATCTCAAATCTATCAAAAAAATACTGGTTTCAGCACACAATTGTGCTACAGATTTACCCTCATGACACTTCTTCAGAAGTTCCAAAATCTTCAGTCACCAACTTGAAAGGACCACAAAATGCACCATTCATTGTTAGTACTGCCACAAATTCTACACAACATAGGCTTCTATGAGCTACTGTATGCTACTTATGTGTCCCATGTTTTCATAATCAGATACTTCTGTTTCCCCCAGCACTAATTTCCTTATACTCTCAAGTACCTAATGCAGTTACCTGCTGTTTACATTTGGAAGAACCAAATATCATGTGTGCAACCAGTCCCAACTCTCCACAATAATCTTCTGCAGATGATGATCCTACCTCTGCACAGAAGCAGGGTCTCTAAAATCCAAGGGAGACATGAGCCATGCAGTAATAATGGGCAAAAATAGCATTAAACCTGCATTAGGTATTCTTCAGTCTTTCCTTCAACTGTCAGGTTATACCAGGCTCATACTAGAAACTGGAAACAAGGGTGCCCCCTTTACCAGGGTTTTTTTTTCCTGAAAATACCTGAACTTGTCCACTATCTGCTGAAATGCAATTTGTGCAAATACACTAACAAACCCTTCACATGAAGACACAGATCAAAGTTTTTCAAAGTGATACAATGTAAGTATTTCCTAAACAAAGTTAAGAGGTTTTTTTAAGATGGGATAGTAATGTCTACATACACTAGCATATGCTGTCATTGTGAGGTCTGTATTTTCTCTCACATGCACACAAAGAGCTGCACTACCAAAACAAATGGGGAACTCAGGAATTTAACTAAAAAAAGCACTTATTTAAATACTTCCTTCAAGCAAGGGAAGTTTAGCAGGAGTTCAAATCCTCTAACCACAAAAACTATGTGGATCTAAAGTATTCATAATAAACACAAACACCTTCTGCGTAAGTCCTATAAAGCCTGTCTAAAATTGTGCCGCAACTGACTAAAGTATGCTGTTGACATACTTTAAGTGTTCTTTCTATTTTAAGTCTTTTCTGTACTAATGCAGATCTGAAAGTAAGAAAAAAAGAAAAAGAAACCATTTAAATTCATGTTTGAAATAAAGGACTGCTTACAGTACTTTAATCAATTTACCTGGCTTTGGAGCTGCCTGAGACCCAAGCACCTGGTGGGTTCTAAACATTCGCAAGCACAGCACTTTTGCAGAACACGTCTTTGGTGGGAACACATTGCCAAAAACAGGAGCCGAGCATCCACTCACAGCAACACGCAGAAGGCTCGCCATTGCACCCAGACCTCACAACAAATTCCTTGCCACGTATGGAACCCCTACAGCAAATGTGAAAACAAATCAAGAGTTATTAATGGCACCGGACAGAAGGCATGTAAACACTGCAGGTTTAGAACCAGTCAACTGCCAGTAGCCACGAGACAATCATTCCTCACCACCTTTATCTTTCATGCTAGAAAAAGAATTTTTTTTTTCCCCCAAATTAAGTAAAACAGCTGTTAACCAAAGCACCTGGCGTGACCAGCCGAACTGGGGATCGCATTTCTGCGACTTAGGGCCGTTTTCACTTTACACCGTTGCTTTAAAACGATAACTGTGGTATGGGAAAACCGCGGTGCCCCAAAGCACCAAACAAAGGACTCCAATCCGTGACACAGCTCCCTCAGGAGTCACCCTGGGTGGGAGACAGCTTGCAGGCGCCCAGGAGGCTCAGCAGAGCACTCGGGGCGGGACACGCTGGGCAGCGGGCAGGGAAGCCGGGAATGTGCTCTTCGCCCGGAATCCCGCCGGGCCCCCGCGGCAGCGGCCCCTTCTCTCTCTTGTCGCTATTTACAGCCCGTGGCCACCGAATGACCTTGGGCGGGCGGCTCGTTCTCTGCTATGCACTGTCCCCGCTCGGGGACACCCCGCAGCCACCACCTCCCCGCTCCCCGCTCCCGCGGGCCCCTTCTCAGGCCACCTGCCTCCTCCCGCACGTCCGTCCCGCCACGCTCCCTGCCTCTCCCTCCCTTTCCCCCAGTAGCGTGGCACCGCTGTCTTCTCCCCACCAGCGGCTGGCCCCCACACGCACCAGGAGAATGAGGCGGTGCCGGCGCAGCCCCTCACGACGCGGCGCATACGCCCCGCGCGGAGCCCCGCACACGCTCCTCCCTCAGCTCCGCACCGAGCCCCGCTGCCCGGGCCTCCACAGGGAGCTCCGCACGCAGCCCCGCGCTCGCACCGCCGCAGCCCCGCACGGTACCGCCGCCGCGGCTCCGACCGACCTTGGGGCGGGGCCGGGACGGGCCCGCGCCGCCAACCCGGAAGGACTGAGGGGCGCGCGGGGGTCGGGCGGCCGCGTCACGCGGCGTCTGAGGGGCGGTGGCGGCGCTGCCGCGTCCTGGCCGAGCCCGCCGGCGGCGGAGAGCGGCATAACCGCGCCGAGCTGCCGTGGCTGGCCGCGGCGGGGAGGCGACGGTCGGGGCTGCAGAGGGGACGCGCCGAAACGCGCGTGTTGGACGTGGGGCTAACGCCATTACACGTAAGTGGTGTCCTCTTCGTTATTGTTACTTCTTAAAATGTGTGATAAAGCAGCCAGGTGTCGGAGTGGTAGGCGCGGGAACAGAAAATGGGGAGCTGTGTCCACTTTGGACATAAGGAGAAATTTCTTCACAGAAAGTGTGAATAGATGTCGGGATGGGCTGCCCAGGGAGGTGGTGCAGTCAGCGTCCCTGGGGGTGTTTAAGGAAAGGCTGAACGTGGCACTCAGTGCCACGGTCTGGTTGTCGTGCTCATAGACTGGACTCGATGATCTCAGCGGTATTCTCCAACTTAATCGATTCTGCGCTCCTGTGATTCTATAGCTGTTGAAATAATACAAGGCTGGGTGAAGAGCACATGGGGTTGGAGAGGCAGATCCAGAGGACAGCCAGCCACACTGCCCATTGCCTCCATACACTGTCTTCACACAGTCCTGCATATGTTGCCTTACTTCACACGATCTGTGGGTTCCATGTATGAGGCGTATTTTGGTTTGGGTGTTTTTTGGGGTGGTTTTTTTTTTTTTTTTTTTTTTTTAGATTACTTAAGTCTGTGTAGTTGCTCATGCAAACTGCATTTTGCTGGAGATGTCACATAGCTTCCAGACTTGTAAATGGTGACTTAGCAGGTAAAGTTAAGCACTGAAAACATGAGAGTTATCCTGAAAACAATTAATAGGATTCTCTACTACTAAATGTTCATTACTGTGCTTTTAAATAAGCTTGTGTGAAATCTGTAGAGCTTTAGAGCTACAGATTATGCCTGTGCTTTATGTTTTGGGCTCAATAACCATTGACTCCTACAATAAAATGCCTCATTAGTATGGTAGTGATTGGAATAATTCCAACTATTAACAAAAATTACACTTCAAAAGCTAGACCCAGCCCTCTCCTTTTTTTTTTTTTTTTCTAGTTAGAAATATGTTATCAGCGTTTAAAAAAAATAGAGCAAATGCCAATTTTCTGTTAAAATGCCTGTGTTCTGAATAGTGATAAGGTTACAGTGTACGGCTTCTTGGCACCAGGCACTGAAGGTGTGTGTGGGTTTGGTTCTGAGCTGAGTTTTAGATTTGAGGTAAGACACTTGGGACAAAGCAGGGAACTCCTAGTGGCTGCCTAGAAGTGTTCATAATTGTATTTGGTGAAAGTTTCAATCCAGTCATTGGGTGCTTAGGTTAGGTCTGCCTAGTTTAGTGATCTCTGGGGTTCTGCTGTGTGGTCTCAGAGGCTTGAAGTAATTCACAGGACTTCAGCTACTCAGGCCAAAACCTGCTAAACATAATGTTAAGCAGTCTAAAGGGGTGTACTGTTGTACGTAGTATTTGGGGCTTGTTATTTTAGAATTAACCACCTGATTATTTTTCTTTATTTTGTTTTAGGTGTCTACACTGGGGAGAGGAAATTGGGTTCCCAACCAAACTTCCCTGTGCTCATGCAAGCTTAAGTAGTGCATCTGTAAGAAAAAATATGGATTTGGGATCACATTCCAGTTTAAACGGTAAGTAGTTGCCAAATGATTATTAAATTAATATAATATAAAATGTCTGCTAAGTGTAAAGAACTCACATTTATGTCCAAAGGTGAAAACTTGTCTTGTTCAATAACTTAAGGCATTCAGTTCCTCTTAGAGACAAACCATAAAGAGTGAGATTTGCTAACTTGAAAGATTGGCATATTCAAAAGTGATCACAGTATATAATGGTGGAGAACTTCAGTTTTCATCTTCACATTAATGTAAGGTTTTCATTCTCCTCCTGGTAAGCCAAAGTCTACAGATGTGGACAGAGGTCATAATATAGGCATTAAAACTGGAACTGATATAACAAAAGAACAATGAATATTTTTAATGTAGAAATTTAGGAGCTGGTTTTTGATCTTTAAAGAATTGGTAATACTACTGAAATTAGTTTTGACAATGGTTTACACAAGTAAAATATTTTTTTTTTTTTTTTTACAACTCATTCAAAACATCCTGCATCAGCTCACATTCCAGTTGCAGAGTATAATTAGTTTACAATTCTATATTTCCAGAAGGGTTGCCTAGGAACAGTTTCCCCAGGAGCCTCATTAATTTTAACTTATGACACCTTTAATGTCCAGCCACCTTTTTATCTTGCCAAAAATCAGTCCAATTCATGCCTTGGGGAGCTAACAAGTATTTTATACCCTACCCCTCCCCTAGTAATATTTGAAAATGGTAGCATGTAATAATAAACCCAATAGAAACTTGACTTCTAAAGGCATCATTTTACAATCCAATTGGATTTTTTTTAGATACAAGACAACACTATTCTGATATTTTTCATAATTTTCATACATACTTGCTTATTTTTTTTCACCCCTTCATGAGCAGTAAATGGAGCTGGACCCAGTGCCACACAATCTTTTGATTTTTCCTGTGGCAGGAACAAGTGGCAAGGACAGCACAGACCAGACTGTTCAGGGAGACAAAATATAAACTCCATAGCAGGATCAGCTGAGATGTATTTGTAGCACACCAGATTACACTTGCCCTCCTCATCTTGAAAGCTGATTGTGATACAGAGTTTGCAAAACAATGAGAGCAAGACTTTGGACTGAAATTGAAGAGTAGATTCATTAGATTGTAAATGGACATGTGAGTTGAACCGTTCTCAGTTTATGTGATAATATTAGGAAATACTAATTACATGGACCATGTTCTTCAGTTGGTTACTATTGGTGTGGAAGGTGGTTGTTAAACATTAAATCAGAAGAGCAATTGTTATCACATCATGCGCAAATTATAAATGAAAATATATTTTTCTGAACAAATATAGTTCTATTAAGTAGCCCTAACCGTACAATAATATGGTCACGTTGGAGGCTTAACTTTATGGGATTAAATTTAGAATTTCGCCTGTAGTTTTCCCATGCCTTTCTGGTAGAAACAGCTGTGTATGCACAGCGTGGCGTGATGCACCTGTGGCTGCAGGTTTCCTGTTGTAGTGAAGCCTTGGCCCTGGCACGGTCACCTCGCCCCTCTCGTTACCGTGGAGATGCAGTCGCAGGGAATACGGTGCCTTTGGAAACGCCGTTTCCAGGCTGCCGCGGGCTCTGGGCGGGCGCGGCCATCGCGACGCTGTGCGGGGGTGAAACCGAAAGTGCGGGGCCGGGGCGGACCCGCGTTCTGCCCGCCCCGGCTCCGCTCCGCTCCTCCCTCCCATGAGCGCCCGAGCCGCCCGGCCTCAGCATGTCGGAGAGTTTCGACCGAGTGCCGGGTGCCGGCCGGGGCCGCGGGTACGCCGCGCCGGAGAGAGGCGGCGGGGCCCGGCCCGCGGGCAGCGCGTCCCGCGGCTCGGGCTCGGCCGAGGAGCAGCAGCACCAGCCGGGCGGCCTCTTCCCGCAGCAGGAACCATTGCGGCCTCCGAAGACGGCGCCCCTGGGCACCGGGATGGCAGGTACGAGCTGCTTTCCCCGCTCGCTCTTTTCGCGGGGCAGCTGCGCGGCTCTCCGCCCGCCGCAGGGGCACCGGCATCTGCCCTCGGGAGCGTGGTCCTGTTCCCGGTGTGCGTTGCGTGCACCGCGCTGAGGCCGGGCCAGCGTGGTGAGCCCTGGGGGCCGGCGGACAGCTGCATGACTAGAGAGGGGTAAGAGAGAGAAAACCAAAGAGAATCATATAATGCACGGTGCAGTCGCTCACCACCTGCTGACCAATGCCCAGCCTGTCCCTCAGCAACAATTGACAATTACTGGCCAGCTCCCTCCCCAGTTTATATACTGAACGTCACATTCTGTGGTATGGATTATCCCTTTGGCCAGTTCAGGTCAGCTGCCCAGTCTTTGCTGCCTCCCTTCTTCTTGTGCATCTGCTCACCATCAGAGCATGGGAAACTCATGTAATCGACACTTTCCTCATACTGAATCCAAGACATAGTACTGTACTAGCTATCAAGAAGAAAATTAACTCAATCCCAGCTGAAACCAGCATACTGGGTTACGGACCTGGATCAGGTAAAGGTGTGATGTTGTATTGCAGCTGCTTGCAATACTCTCTGTCCTTTCCCCCTTTTGTACCCCCACATCTGAGTGTGCTTTTAATCCATCTGTTAATCTGACTGCAGATGGTCTCAGCCTTCCCCCTATTGAAGAATTCCAGCCTATTTGCAAAAAAATAAACCCAACAATAACACAAAGCAATGTTTGTTGGTCAGCTTTTTCAGGTAGGTGTCAGGTTCTGTTTTCAATAAACTTATGAGCTAGTCTGTAAAGAGAATTTGGAAGACAGTGTTTTAAAAACACTTCAATTGGATGTTTTGGCAAATGGTATATAAGAACAACAATAGCCCAATGTCCTTGAGAATTTTGTTGAAAATAATTGTTGGTAAAAATTAGTGATGTCTGTCATTTATTGACCTGACAGATGTATCTTGTATTTGTATCTAAAATCTATGAAAAATCACAGGATAATCAAATGTACTGTAAGCAGATTTACTAGTTGTTTAGGTTAACTCTTAGACAATGTGTTTACATGGAAAATAAGGGTTTTTTCCCCGTGTTGTTTTGGTTTTTTTTTTTTTGTTTTGTTTTGTTTTGTTTTGTTTTGTTTTGTTCACCTGCACAGGAGAACTGCTTACTTTCTATCATGTAGAAAGACATGTGGAGTGTGCCTAAATTAATATCCATACCTAAGAATAAACAATACAGCCTATGTATTTAAAGGAAGTATATTTATAGTAAAACCATACTTTTAGTAAAAAAAAGTGTTTACTCTGTGTGAATACATACTAATTTAGTGATTTCTAAGAGAAGCTGTTAACAAAAACTTTTCAGAGCAACTGCAAAAGACGGGAATTCCGCCTGGATCACAAGATAAAGTTTCAGTTACTGATTCTGGACCAAAAATGGCTGAACCTCAGTTGGCTGTGGATCCTGTAGCAACATCAAACTTGTCTGCTAAAGCACCTGAATTTTATCCATCGGGGTACAACCAGAACTTCAATCAGAATTTCACAGTGAGTGTTTTAACTTCATTCTTTAATGTGTGCCAATTTACTTGTACTCAAATTAATAATATTTTCTTGAAATCTTTTATGTCAGATAATTTGAATTCTGTATTTGCTGAAGAGATTGCAAAAATTCAGATTATAGCCTCCAGAGTTGCAGCTAGGATGTTAAGTGTTAATGGGTGAATAATATGATGTACATGAGAGCCTCTGCTGTGGAATATTTTGCCAAAGCTTGCTGCAGATAACCATATTCCTTTTTCACAGGCATTGGATACATTCAACATGAGAGTAAGCTGTTTTTGGTGACCACCTCTGTTGTAGGTATATCTGTACTGCATTTTAAATGAAAGCATAACCACTTTTATCCAGAATTTACAGGTTTTTGAAGAAAGCTTGGGAAAGAAATCTTGAACTTTAGCTTTTCTTAGCACAGGCTTTGGCCTTCCTGAATTTCCTGTGTCACAGGTACCACTTGTCATGACTGCCTAAGCTAGTGTACCATCATGTGTCATCAGTGGTGTTGTATCACCAAAGGTCAAAAAAAGTGGTAGACTCATTCCTGCTAGTTACCTACCAACACTCCTAGTAAGAAATATATTTCCACACAGACTCAGATCAATTTGTAGATGCATCATGTAATAAAAGCTGGTACTTCTATTTCTGTTCCATTGTCTTCCATGTTACTGGTTCAGTAATTCTACTCCAGGGCAGATCTCTGTGAATTCTTGGCATATCCTTTTGTTATGCAAACAGTCAAATTCTAGTACTATATCTAAACAGGTGGGAACTTTTACAAATACAATCAGGTGATTAAAAAAAAAAAGGGCTGCTGAATCAAATTGTTTTTTGATAACTGGTAGAAAAATTTCATTTGAATGCTGATTATGGTGGTTTGGTATTTTGAAATCTTTTCCTCACCAGTAAAATTGATGTTACCTTAGTGTTACCAGCTTTGCTTTTTACTGAATATAATTACTCTCCTGCATAATAAACCCCAAAGCCAACATACAACTTTTAGCGATGCCAATGTGAACTTGCTTTGGTGAATTGAAAATCTAGTTGAAAAAATAACTACTTTGCCCCAGCACTGATTACATGTTTTCTATAAATAAAGTGTTTCAGTTTCAAGGCAAAGAGAAAACCCAAACAACCTTTGGCGTGGGATACATAGTGCACTCTTGAAACTGCAAAGTTTCAATGCCAACAATGGTGCTTCTCAGATGTTTTGCAAAAACACACAAGCGTGTGGGAGTTCCTGGTTGCTATGTTGTTGGAATATGCTATGAATGTGATTCATCTATTAATAAAACTACCTCTGAAAATGTTAGCAAAACATGTTGCAGGGACTTTAATCTAATTAGAATATGACACACATAAAACAGTGGTATTTTTCTTTCATTCTTTACTATTACAAAATCTGTTAGTTTTCTAATTTAGTAACTGAAGGAATTTTATAAACTGGGCTCACTTGTCATAAAAATAAAAAAATCAGCACGCATTACAGTTACACTGATTTTGCCCATGAGTTTAAAATTTGAATCAAAACAAAGTTTTGAGAAACTTTTTTTGCTTAAAATTAGTACTTTATAGCTTTCATTTATGAAGAACCCTGAATTTTTAGACCTGAAATATAGTATTTCTCTCATAAAATTCACAGTTGTTTTGCAATAGCAAAATAACATTTATTATTTTAGAAACAGTGTTGATTTCTTGTTTGATTGTGCACCATTATAATTACTGTGTGTCCATGTAGCATTTGCTATTTGGTCAGTTAATATCCAGTCTTTCCAGTTTTTGATGCTCAAAACTATCAATTACCTGTGAAGATGGTTTAAGGAGTACAAGCTTACAAGGTTTACTAGAATTTTCAGAAAAACTTTACCAGGACTTTAAAGAAAGGCCTCCATGGAATTCACTGTTTGCATAGAGAATCCAGCCCATGGAAATTGTAGCTGTCTGCAGCAGAACTAGTGACTAGGTAGGTTTGAATTGCCAGTAGGAAACACCAGATTTGTTCCTTGGAATGGCTGTATGATAATAATATGGCTGTCACCCCATCAGATGGGCATAATGATGTTCTTACTTCATAGCTTTAGGAGTGAGATTTTTGTTATTTTAGGATTCCACAATCCTTTTCTCCTGCTTTTTTCTTTTTTAACTTCAGTAATTTCCATCAGAAGACCAAGTACGAGAGTGCCACTTAACCTCATTCAGCATGAATAGGTGCTTTTGTATATGCAACAGTCTTTTTGTACTTGGGTTTGCAATAATTTTGTTGGAAACCTGTTGAGTTCATGTAACTGAAGGGAAAAAACCTTGTTGCTAAGAAATATGAAGAAAAATCAAATCAATGATAAATTATTAGTGACTAAGTTCATAAGTGGAAATGTGAATTTACTAGATAAAGGAAAATGGCAATCAGTACGTACACAGAAACTGACTAAGCATATTTGTCTCATGAATATTTGCTACAGACTTTGTTTTTCTTTATGTAAATCAGAGGAGTTTTAGTACCAATTTAGCCTGCTACTCTTCTATATGTAAACTTATGAACTGACACATAATAAAAGAAGTCAAATCTATAACCTTTTCATCAGTTACTCTTCAGTTGTGAATAAGCCAGGATCCCATCCTATAGCTATCAAAGATTAGAGAAAGAAATTGGAGCACTGGCTTGTTGGAGTAATTATTGAAATTAACAGAAAATTTCTGGTTGTCTTTTGTGACTTTACATTATAACTTTGTAGTGATGTGTAATCTTACAGGCCAACTCCTCTTGAAAAATTATCATGGGCCATTTGCTTTGTTTGCCTTGGGTTGATACACCGTGTGGTTCTATGTTTATGTTAAATTTTAAAATCTGACAAGGAGACATGAAAGTACTTTATGTCTAGAAGTTATTGGGCTAAATTTAGTTAGTTTTTAAAGTATCAGTTATAAATAATTCTAATAAAGTTGTATATTTCTGAATTTCTAAAGTACTCATTTTTCTCTCCCATTTGTTCAGTTCTCTGGCATACTTATTGAAACCTAGACATGTTTTGAAGTAGCTTATTTAGTACAGGTAGATGAATATGGTACAGAGTTTAGTTCTCTGTGTTTAGCCTCTTAATTACAAACTGAAAATAAGAGTATACAACAGGGACACCAGTATTCCAAATGATACTGGAATCCCTTACAACACAAGAATGTTCTCCAAGACTGGATTCTTGTCAAGTGAGTATGAGAGGAAGATAGCTCCTCTCTGCTAAAGGGGGATCTTGCAACAATCTGACAGCTGTCAGAAGGAGCAGCTTCTTTTGCTAGCTACAGCAATTGCATGCTCTGCAGTCGGGCTAAAGAGTTTTCAGACAGGTTGTTTGCAGAGATGCTAGTTCAGCTGTATGTGATTAAGCTGCAGTAGCTGCACAGTAATGTAATAGCTCTGTGAAGCAAACTAGTTTTAAATTTATTGTACACAACTCCAACTGGACTGTTTGAAATTGCCTTATAAATATTGATTTTCTTTAGTGAAGAAGAGTATGTAGCAGGTCATACATAGGCCTGTTAGCATTTACTTTTTGGATTTGTAAGCTCCAAGTCATTAGAATGGAAAACTTTAGGTTAGAAAGACCTCTGGAGTGCCCGTGCTCCAGTCCTCAGGTCGTCAAAGGCTTTATGTAGTAATAATTTGCCTTTATTTCCATAAACCCATATTTTTTTTCCTATTTCTTGTGGGCAACATTAAATTATTTAGTCTTTAGTGTTATTAACCAGCATATCTCCTACTTAACTATAGGAAATCATTCTATTTTTACTTTTGTTACACTGATGTATGCCCCACCTCACTAACTTATGACATGTCTGAATGATTTTGGAAAGTCTGCTTTTTTTACCCACACATTTTTTACGAGTCATGAAATTAATATCAGGATGTGATTTTCAACAATGTGTATCTTGTCTTTCTCATAGTTCATACCCAGCTAGGAATTTTTCACAGATCCATATTGCTTCTCAGTAGAGGAGAGTTAGGCATTTAGAAGACGAAGTAATGAAAAATCCCTAGTAGGGGAGTAGAAGGGGGAGTGGGAGAATATAGTTATAATCCTTGTTGATATATTTATGTACACAAAGTAAAGGAAAAGTGCTTTATCATTTTAGCTCAGCTTTACTGTAGATACACTTTAAGTGTTTTTAAATGGTGGAACAGTTGAGAACTCTGATTTTCTTTGTTACTCTTATGGCTTGAATTGCTAATTGTAAGTCATTTGTAAAAAGTGCCACTTCAGGCTCCTTCTTGCATTTCTGAAATATATGAGGTGCTTTACACAACCTTTTGTGTAGTGTAATAAAATGATTTATTTGGACTGTGTTGCTACTAGTGACATCACTAAGTATGCTGCTTTCTTTGCTATTCCCTTCATATACCTGCATTATAATCATCTGGAACAATACTGACTTTAGATGCTCTCACATAGATTCATTTCTGAATGGACAAAATCGGTGTTCTTCTTTTCCGTCAGTGGGAGCATAAATATCAATAAAGTGATAGTGGATAGCCCCTCCTCTGTTTAGAGAGCAAGTGTGTTTACTGTCTTGTCTGGTTTTAAGGCTCAGTAGCTGTAAATTAATGCAATTCAATTTGAATAGTTTCATTTCATGGTTTGTAGTCTTTAATCTTTTGCCAAGAGATGCAAATACTCTGTCTTTAAAATAGCAATTTTTCTGATTATACTTCTTACATGGGAACAGTACTATGTATTTATTGTATTTCTCTAATTACTCTCCTTTCTGCATATTTTTGGAGCATTATACACACTATCTAAGCCCAAAATACTTTGTTTCAAATTTTCCATTTTTTTTTCCTTCTCCAGTTATAAATCCGTAATACAGTTAGTGTCCACACCAGGAATGCGTTTTGAGCCTCAGTTTGGTAGTTCTGCCCTTAACAGATAAACTTACTTTGTTTGTTAGTTAATCTTGCAACCAACTTGGGAAAATTATTTCTTTTTAATCCATCTTTTTAAGTATTTTACTGGGAGACCCTAATGTCTGTAAAAATATTTTGCCTGGTTCTTAAGGTGACTGGTCTACAAGAGGCTTCTGAAGTCTACACTCCAGGAGATCTTGAGGTCTATGCTCTGTAAAAATGTTGAAGTGAACTGTGTAATAAACATCTCTATCAAGCATACAAAGACTCAAAACTAAGGGCGGTATGGTTATTTCTGGAGACAGAAGGTGTAAAAATTATTCAAGTACTTGTTTTTAAGTACTTGGCATATTCTTTGACTTCTACAGGATTCTTCCTTTGAAGATAGATGTGATGGCTATCTGACCCTGGCAGAATATGTACAAGACTTCCTAAATCACCTCACGGAGCAACCAGGTTGTTTTGAAACGGAAATAGAACAGTTTGCTGAAACACTGAATGGCTGGGTTATTGCAGATGAAGCTTTACAAGAACTTGTTGAACTTGTCTATCAGCAGGTAATGTATTACAAGATGGACATTATGCCTCTGTTACCCAGTGTTCAAAATAGTAATTCCAGTATTTGTTACATAATTTTACAACATAGTATTTTTATTATTTGATATTTTTTTTCCTTTTAGACTGAAATATATAGGGAAGGATTTTGCTTAGTAAGTTGAAATGTTAGCTTAGATTTGTTGTGTGTTTGTATCTCCTGGATAAATACTACAGCTGAAATTATGGTACTTAATTAAAAGAAGTTGTATTTTAATTTTTGTTAGTAAAGATTGAAGAAACTTATGCAATACTGTACATTTTTATTCTCTTGTGAAAAAAAAAATCCTCATAGTCCCAAGATTCCTTAGTATTTTAAAAAATTAAATCCATACCTACTGTACACACCATCCTTTGGGAAGTACTTCTTTACTGACAGGATTTTTTCCTTATTTGAAATATACCTATTTCAGAAAAGCATAACTGGAGAAAAGGAAAGCTCCTCTAAGAGTAACTAGGTCCAGTCACATTGATGGCATGGAAATGAGGACAAAGACCTTGAGCTGAACTCTGCACTAATTGGGGGAGCCATTGGAAAGAACAGCTTAATATGTGTTGCTTAGCAAATGAGCTGCTCTTACTGTCTTTTGGGCTCACTGTAGAAAAGGAAGCCATGCTTCTGGCTTGCTCTTTATTTTGTTGGGTGTCTTTCATAGGTTTGTTGCTTTCAAGTTCTGCCTTGAATAAGAGTAAAAATCAGAGTTTTATTTAATTGAAGGTACCTGCAGAATATTTTAATCTGGTGTATGTAGAAGTGGAATGACTGGTTGTACAGAACTGTAGGGTCTCAGGTTTCTCATTATTATACAGAATTAATGCAAATTTAATTGAGACCAGTTTAGTTAGACATGATTATCACCTGTGCTGCATTTGGCAGCATCATTTTCCCATTCTTTATTTGAACCCATGGAGGATAGTTTGTTGGAAGGGGGGAAAAATAGGATTTTTAACTTCCTGTATTTTAAATACATTGACTCACATTGAATAGAAGTCTTTAATGTTGCCTCTTCCTCTCTATCCCCCTTTAAAAACAAGCTCAGCATTAAGGTTTACAGTGACTTCCTCAACTCAGAAGTTCAATGTTAGTCTGAAAAATTTACATTAAAAAGTTACATGAAAAATAAAGCTTAATGCCAAAAAGCTATGCTAGTATCTAAAAGCATCTAATTTTAGATATCTGGTGTGTCAGACTAACATAGTGTCTAAGCAAAGCCAACTACACTTAATGATTCTTCTGTCTTGAGCAGAGGCTCAAGCATGTGTCACCTGGTTTTTCTCAAAGCAATTAAAACTGCTGAAACTTACAAGCATCTGCTTCAGTGATACAATTGTGACCCAACAAAACAGATTTACAGATCCTAAGTTTGTAAAGGAAATCTACTGGAAGAAAATAAACCCACATCCTGTAGGATCTTCCCATCACCTCTGTGTAGAGTATCTTAGCCTGTCTATAAATAGTAATTATATACTTACATTCTTATTTACGTCTGAACAGAGTGAAGTGTCAGTTCTTCTGCCTTCCAAAAGCTGGACACTGAAGTTATAGTTAAAGAACCTTTACTGTTGTCTAATTAATGCAGTGGATTGTTCCTGTTAGAGCAGCTACAGTTTCTCAAGATACGTGTTTGGTAGATTAGCCTTCATGCTTAGATTGTGACTTTTTTGAATTGGAGATAAAGTAGTGTTACCAGCAATAATTGTTCCAATAATATGATTTTGCAATGTAATAGTTGATTATTAGGAAGATATAGGGAGATAATAATATGCCAGATCATAATATCTAAAATATAGTTATTTCAATGTTTAGTGCAACCACAAGTACAGACCAACTAATAAGGAAGATAATTTTTTAAAAATACAGATGAGATTTGAAGAATTTGTGTATATATTTGGATGTTAAAATTTTTGTTTGCTGGGAGTTTGTTGGGTTGGGGTTTTTTGGATTTTTTGGGGGGGGTTTTTTGTTTGTTTGTTTTGTTGGGTTTTTTTGGTTAGGAAAAAAAATTTAAAAGGCTCACATTATAAAAAAGGAGTACCTCTTCTATTTAGAGCAACTGATTGAACCACAGCATCAAAGTCTATTTGGGTAGTTCACATGCCCCTTACTGGAAAGTGAATTCCATTTGTCCATCTTAATTACTTAAACTTGTTGTATCTTCCAAAGACACTTAATTTCTTTCCAACAACTCTATGCACATAGTAGAATTATGTCTTTTTCTCTACCTGTAAGAGGTAGCTAGATATAATTGCATAAACAAGACTTTTTTTTCAAATATGTTGGAACAGCTCAAACATGCAAACATATCTGTAGCACTGATAGATTATCAAAATGTAAAAAAAATATTCACAGATTATAAAGCCAAAGTAGAAATTTACTGAGTTCTTAGTATCCTCATTTTCTTTTGGGCAGAGCTGGTGAAGTTATTTGCAGCAGAACTTCTTTTCACTGAAACTGCATCTGAGAAATAATATGAAATTCAGGTGTTGATAGAGGAGGCTTGAAAATGAGTGAACAAAATAAATTTCCACCTCTTTGAAGTTTGAATTATCAGATTAAAACATAAGATTTTTTACACAATATCATTCCTACCATCTTTTTTCAGATGACATAGGTATAGATGTTCAGCAGTAACAGGACTTGTTTTAGAAAAAAAGGACACACCAAGAGCTATTAATTGTAATGGTTTAGTCTTACTTTCTGATTCAAAAGTTTGCAATTCTTCAGATTGCTGGAGCATGTATGGGAGAAAGTATTTCTCTTTATTTGCTATGTTCTTACACTCTTTCGTTGGGTATTAGCCATGGCAAAAAAAGATTGTGGAATAAATAGCCCGTAGACTGAAAGAAGACAACATTTTATGATGTTTTTTGAATATACACATTGCTCCTTGAGACAGTATGTGTTCTTGAAAAAGTGCCTTAATGTCCAGTGTTGTTTTTTTTGTATAAGCAGTCTGTATGTGACTTTGAGACACTCTTCTGTTGTAGGTCACAGTGCAGAAGTAAAATTACATGAAGGCACATGGCATAATGGTGGTTTTTTTCCTAGAGCCACAGAATCACAGTATAAGGAACTTTTAAGTTCTGCTTAATATAACATATAAATCCATATAGCAACATGCTGAAGCTATACAAAAGTGAACTTGGCAAATAATAATTATTAATCATTCATTTTCTGCTCTTGAGTTGTCTGATCAACATTAATTAAGCATGCATTTCAAAAAAGCTTTTGAAAGTATTTTCTGATAGCCTAATCATTAGTTTTATAAATAATATATTTTACCATTTTTATTTTGGAAGGCCACCTCTGTGCCAAATTTTTCTTACATGGGAGCACGGTTGTGTAACTATCTATCTCACCACCTAACCATTAGTCCACAAAGTGGGAACTTCCGACAGTTGCTGCTTCAAAGGTCAGTATCAGTCACTTTAAGCCTCATTCTCTTCAGCTGCATCCTTCTGGTTTGTGTGTTAATTCTTTCTTGCATACAAAGAGGTACTATTTAAAATAGTAGTAGAGATTTGATGCACCTCCCCTCGCAGCCCCCCAAATTACTAGACTGGCCCAGATTTACAAGGCCTTGAGGGAAGGTGAATCTGGAGATGGGCAAAGAAGCAAAAGAGGCTCCAATTCCCCAATGTGGTTCTCCAAGCTGTTTAATCCATGAGATGAGGGGGGAAAAGGGGGAGCGAACAGGAAGGGACATGGCCTTATCTAGGCTCTGGACAGGGAGGGCTTTCTGGCTCTCCGCCGACCCCATCGGAGCAGGAAGGAGGGGACCCTGTTTATCTGATTCCAGTCACAGGGGTCCCTGAAAGTGGAAAACCATAGCCCAAGTGCACTGTAACAGAGATTGAGGAGTATCAAAACACAGGTACATGCTGGGTATTGAACACAGGCATCTTAAAATATTTTAATATTTTTAAACATAAAAATAGGACTCCATTTGAAGTTCTGTGGGATCTTTTGAACTGAGTATATTAGACTTGTCCCCAGAATAGTGCAAATTGGAAAGTTAATCTACTTTAAAAGTATACTAAATGCACATATGGGTACTGTCCTTGTCCTTTGATTCTTACCAGTACTTACTTAATTGTGGTTTTTTAATTAGTGCTTTTGGTTTTTAGCTGGAATTTGTGTGTAAGGTTTATTCATTGATAGGCTAACTGACTATGTATCTATGAAATAGTTGTATAAAGTTCAGTAGGATAAATTTCTTCAATTGCTGCAGATTTCTGGGGACTGCAGCTTAATAATGATTAGACTTTGTAGTTGACATGCAACATTTTTAAATTGTTATGTATCCTCTCAAATATTACTGCGTGACATTTGAAGGAGTACTGTCTGGACACTTCAGAATTCTTAGAATTTTGTCTTTATTTTTTGTTTAAATACATCTGGCTTTCTAAGCTTCAGGTTTGCCTCTTGTTTGAAAAGTTTTTACTTAGTCCAGCAAAAGTGTGATAAACTTTTACTGTAGTGCATTCTAGTGGTCTTTTGTCATGAGTGGAATGTTATGGTTTAACCTGGCAGGTAGCTAAACAGCTTGCAGCCCCTCACTCAATTCCCCCACCCCTCCAATGAGATAGGCAAGAGATTTGGGGGCAGAAAAAATAAAATTAATGGGTTGAGATAAAGATATTTTATTAGGATAGAAAAGGATCTGAATATAATAACAGTGATAAAAGAATTAGCATATACCAGACAAGAAACACACCATGCAATTGCTCGTCACCCATAATGCCCAGACAGTTCCTGAGCAGCAGCCCCCAGGCAGCTTTCTCCCTGGTTTATATGCTGAGCGTGAGGCCACATGGGATAGAATAGCTGTGGGGTCAGCTGTGTCTCCCCTCATCTTCACCCCAGCCTCTTTGCTAGTGGGCTGGGGTGAGAAGCAGAAGAGTCCTTGATGTAGTGCAAACACTGTGAAGATAAAACCAGGGCATGGAGAAACAGAAAACACTAATTTTTCTCTCTTTTTTTTTGTTGTTCTCTATTATTTTTTGTTGTTGTTTGTTTGTTTTGTTTTTTCTTTTAAAATCATTGGTTATGATTTTTTTTTTAACAGTGTCTTACTTGAACATGAAAGAAAATCCCTGTTAATGTTGCATTTTCTGGTTCTTGGTTTTGAAGAAAAGCCAATGGATAACATTAATGTTAGCACCTTGAACCTACTAATTTAAAGTTGCTGATGTTTTGCTTGCTAATATGGATAAAACTGGGAGTGGGGGGGTGTGTGCAGATAAACAACCTAATAATGTGACCAAAGAGAGGTCATCTTCTGTTTCTCAACAAAGTTTCTACCTGAAGTTTTGTATTTCAACTCTTTAAGATTTTTCAGTTTCTCCACTTTTTCTCAATCCATTACACAATCATTCAGAATACATTAAAATTTGTCTGGGTTTCCTTCTATCTCACATATTTTTTAATTTTGTTTTGTACTGTTAGGTAAACTGGTGTATTTTTTGCACAGTTCCTAAATACTAGAAAAATTACTTCACTGCCATACTATATTAATCCTATTTTTGTATTTATATTTAAATTACAGAATCATAGAATTATTTAAGTTGGAAGAGACCTTAAGAATCATATAGTTCCAAACCCCTGCACCTCTGCAATGGGCAGGGAACCTTCCACTAGACAAGGTTGCTTAGAGCCCCATACAGCCTGGCTTTAAACACAGGGATGGGGCATCCACAGCTGCTATGGGAACTTGTTTTGGTGTCTCACCACACTAACAGTAAAAAAAGTTCTTCCCAACATCTACTCTAAACCTGTCCTTTGCTAGTTTGAAGCCATTCCCCTTTGTCCTGTCACTACATGCCCATGTAAAAAGTCCTTCTCCCACCCTCTTGTTGGCCCCTTTTAAGTACTGGAAGGTGCTACAAGGTGTCACTAATGCCTTCTGTGCTTCCCACTGAGCAGTCCCAGCTCTCTCAGCCTGTGCCCATATGTTCTGGTTTGAAAGCAAAACCAGTGAGAGACTCCAAGTCAGAAATGCAATTTATTGGGAAAAGGGGGAAAAAAGGACAAAAATACATGCAATAATACAAAGGGGAAGACTACTGACAAAGTCAGAATACAACCTGGCCAGCGTGCTGGTAGCAGTCCAAATTGGAGTAGCTGCAGTCCTCTTGGGATGGCAGATGTAGTTGCTGTGTCTTCTCGGAGAACCTGTGAAAAGGCTGCCCCTCTGTCTAGAAATCCCCAGTTTTATCCAGGTTGGAATGCCTAGCTCCTCCCCCCTGGGCAGAGCATCTCACAGTGGGTCATTATGAGTCAGGAGGTGTGTCCTTAATCACCTGCTCCTGGACAGTGTTATCTCTGAGTCATGTGGCAAGGCATTGATGGGGCTATTAACAGCAGATAAGGAAAACTGCCCCAAGGCAACTCCTACTCAGATGGTAAATAGGAAAACGTTTGGGGGTTTTTTTTGGTTTTTTTTTAATCTTGGACACCATAGGAGAGATGCTAAGGCCCTATGGTCAACTTAGAGGCCTTCTCTGGTCTCAATATGTCTGTGTCCTCCTTGTTCAGAGGACCCCAGCTCTGGATACAGTGCTCCAGGTGGTTCCACCAGAGCAGAGCAGAGGGGCAGATCACACTCATTCACCTGCTGCTCACGGGGCTCTGAATGCTGGATACAATTGGCTTTCTGGGCTTCAAGTATGTGCTGTCACATTGATCATCTCATCACCCAACACCCCAAGTCCTTCTTGGAAGGACTGTTCTCAACCACTTCCCTGTCTAAGCTGTTCTTAACGCTTGGGATTGCCCTGACCCATATACAGAACCTTGCACTTGGCATGATTTGCACAAGGCCCCACTCAAACCTGTCAAGGTCCTTCTTGTGTGCCATCCCTTCCCTCTACAGTGTCACTTAACACTGCTCAGCTGGGTGTCATGAATTATGTATCACTGTCACTTAACATGGCAACAATAAGTGTAAAGGCATCTAAGACAATGTGGTAAGCACCCTGAAGAGGGGAACATGTCTACTTCATTTCTTTGGGAATTGGCTGCCTGTGTTACTGTTGCCCATCCTAGACCCATATTCAGTTGTATAAATCATGTAACTGTATTAATTTTTACATGTTTTAAGTTATTTTATTTTGCCGCATCAGATATCTCAGTGCTTAAAGACGTAATCATGTAATCATATGTGTTTCTCTAAAAGGATGCAAATCCACTGTTTCTTCTTGAAGGCCTCTTGTTCCCTTCACGGATCATACATCCCAGCATTCAGCATGTAATGGTTTTCATGTGGTTCATAAGTTCTTAGCGTTCCTTTAAATTAGTAACGTGTTACATATGTTGGAATGACTACAGATGATGTAATTGTGTTTTAATTTTTACAGGTGTCGAACAGAGTATGAAAACAGAGATGAAGCTACCAAAGGGGATGAGACTACTAGAAAACAATTTCATGCCTTTGTGTTGTTCTTAGCTGAACTTTATCTTAACTTAGAGGTAAGAAGAAAGTTGGCTGTCATGTGGCTCTTTTTTTGCTTTGTGTAGGTAAATACTGAAGTGGACTGTAATCTGAGGTGCTTTTCTAAAGGCAGAGGACAGTAAAGTAAAAGAACTTTACAACAGCTTCATTATAATGCATATGTCCAAGAAACATATAAACAAAAAAGGATTAGATCATTAGAAGAGAAATGTATAAAAATGAAAGTGTAAGAATTTGTGGGAAGAGGCAACCACAAACATCTTTGAAATGAAGCTTTTATTTTCTTTAGCTGCCTATACTGAACCAACATATTAAATGTTATTAAATGCCTAGCAGAAGTAGATCAGAATCAATTCAGTATGTAATTCAGTATTCACGTACTAATAAGAAGTGTTTACAAACCTTTGAAGCAGGTGTGAAAAATCTTCAAAATGAGGAATTAAAAATGCAGACTATTAAAGATACTTCTGCTGATGGTTTAGTCATTGGCTGATGCATGAAGTATGCAATCTTGTATTTAGATTTCTTTTCTGTATCTGTGATATGTACAAAAATGTGTACAATTTTTTTTTTTTTTTATGCCAGTGCATTTACCAAGTTCACTTCCTGCTGTAGTGTAGTTAAAAATACACATTTGGCTTGATTGTTTCAGTGGTTTGATTTAAACAAACACTGTAAAAAGTTTCTGCTGGCATGGGGAAATTCCTTCTCTTACTCTTCCATTTCTGGACTGTAAGTGGTCCTTGAAATCTGCATTTCACTTGCTAGAAAAAAAAATGAAGATTTTCAAAGACTTTGGAATGGGGGAAGTTGTCTATTTGTATGGAGTATACCATATTTCTTGGAGTATAACATTTGGTTTTAAACCATTGTCTGTATTTTTTTTTAATTATATAAAGACTGCTTTCTAAAACTAAGCTACCATTGCTGTAAAGAATATGTAATGCAGTGTGGAAAAGAGCATGAAGTTCTGGAAATTTGGTATTTTTTTGGGCCATTAGGCAGGCATTTGGTAGCTTTTCTTAGCAATTTGTTAGCAGAGAAACAAAATTCTAGACCTCCATTGTTATGCCAGAATTGCAAGGAGATTACTCAGAGTAAGTTTTCCACTGACACTGAGCTGTGTGGTGCAGTCAATGTGCTGGCATGAAGGGATGCTACCCATAGGGACCAAGACAGGCTTGGGAGGTGGAACCATGGAAAGAAGGTAAAGTGCAAGGTACTCATCTGGGCCAGGCACAAATACAGGCTGGGTGGAGAATCAGTCTCAGCTCTGCTAAGAAGAGTTTTGGGTGTTAGTGGATGAGGACCTCAACCTAACATGCATCAGATGTATGGCCAGCAGATTGAGGTAGGTGATGACCTAGATGATGTTTAAGGTCCCTTCCAACCCAATCCATTCTATGATTCCTTGAAAGTTGGTGTTCTAAAATGGTTACAGTATTTGGCATATAGATGTCAACTATGTTGATCATAAATCAAATAATACAGCATTCAAGAAAGAAAATGTGCCAAAAATAATTTCTAAAACTTGAGTATTTTAATTATTATGGGGGGGGGGGTGTTTTGATTATGTTTTACAGATTAAAGGAACAAAGGGACAGGTTACACGGGCAGAAATTCTTCAAGAAGGTCTTCGGGAATTACTGAATGCGCTCTTCTCTAATCCTTTGGACAGTAATTTGATATGTGCAGTGAAACTGCTGAAGGTGAGACAGTAATTTTAAAAGAAAAAAAAATCAGTCTTTTTAAACTTTAATATAGGGAATAGTTTATTTATTCCCTAGTTTATAGGGAATAGTAGGGTAAATTACAAGTGAGAAAGTATTTATAGGGGTTTATGCATTACAGCATTAGCAGAGCAAACTACTTTTTTTGTTTTCCTTAGTACCACTAGGAAATTGAGCCAGTAAAAAAAGTAACAAGATGCTCTATAAATAAATACAAGGCCATTTGTGTACAAATGAGCAATAGAACTGAAGTTAAGGTGCAAATGAGTAAATGCTTCCTCTAGATCTCATTTTGCTGCTTCTGGTGTGGGAGAAAACTGTAACCAGTTTGAATGAATTGTGAGATCTTAGGTAATGCTCTGTGTTCTGAAGAACACGTGGTTGTTGGAGTCCACCACTTTTTGTGGCAAAAGGTTCTTAATATCTCTTACTTAATTCTGTGCTGTCTGTGTCATTACTATTATAGAAATACATAGATTTCTCTTTCATGTTGGAAATAAACCTCTTTGCTCATAGCCCATACATTTTCTTATAAAACATTAGCCTCTTTGTTGGAGAAACTCTTATCTTCAGTAGGTATCATTATACTTGTAGTTGGGAAAACAGTTTACATTAGGAATGAAAGTTAAATGCTAAACAGTATTTTTCTGAAGATTTTTGGTTGGCTTGGTTTTTTTTTTTCATTCTTTACCCTTCCTCATACTCCACTGCTTCTCAGCCTGTTCTATCTTGAATTTCATTTCTGACAGCTTCTTTTGATATCATAGAGTAGGGAAGAGAGACATTTGTAATTTAAAACCTTCATTTGAAGTTTGGATGTTTAAGGAGGTTGCTTCACAGCAAGTGTGAGATTGTACTCAAAGAGCACATTCACTCCTATGGTCAGTCCTTATGTTGGCAGTGCTTCCCTGAGGCAAGGCTCATTGAAGAACCTTTTTAAGCAGCAATATACAAATCAGGAAGCTTTACAGTGCAGTAAAGAAGAAGAAAACCAGTAATTTAAATTGTTTTATGACACATTGCTATATCTAAAATGTGTTACAGAAAAGAGACTCTGTTTTTTCATGCAAGTGTTTTCTGATGTTTATAGTATCTCAAATGTTGAATATATATGCAGCTAGACTGGGCTGCCTCATGAAACCTTGGTTTTACTACTGAAGCAATAAATGTGTCATTTTGTCTTTCCCATTTAATACAGTAATAGAGGTTTTCTCTGTTTGCTGTGCAATATGTTTATTTTTAAGTAATCTTGCTGCTATTTCCTAATTATCCAGGATTAAAGTGAGACCACTGTAGAATACTGCGAATTCAAGTAAAGGCTGACCAATATACTTCCTTTCTCTTGGGGCTGACCAATATACTTCCTTTCTCTTGGGATTTTATCCCTTTGTATCATCAAGTGCCATTCCAGGTGGTTTTGAATATGTAATATTTATGCTGAGGAGACTGCTATTAGTGGCAAACTAATTTTTTTTTTCTGATTTAACTCCTCCTGTGCAATTATTGGACAATGAATTACCTATTCTTGTAGCAAAAAGCTTTCATTCACAGCTGTTCTAGACTGACTCCTGCTGAAGCTTTCCTGGAAGCAGCTTTAGCCTTGTACACTTTTATAGATTAAAGTTCAGGTTGGCTTCTTCAGATAATTCTAGTCTCCTTTATATATACCCAGAAGAAATTCTCTGGCATGTGTGATGCTGGTCAAGTTGACTGAAGTATTTCTAAAGCTCAATAAAGTATTCCCTGTTGTATAAACTGCTGGAATCCACTGCAAAAATAAGATTTAAAGGAAATAAATGATGGTAGTATGTACTTAAATCAAGTAAGATCTGACTAATGTCACTGAAGAGTTGTTTCAAAATCATATTTCAAGACTGAAACAAGTGGCTGTGAACTTCTAGGTTACATAAATATTGGACACAGAGCTCCTATACTGTCTGTAGTTTAAAATAAACTATTTATGAGGTCTATTCATCTGTTTAGCAAAGAGATACAGCTGGAAGTGTCAGCCATCGGGTAGTCCAAGTGTCATGAATCATTACAGGATCTCTTGTTGACTGTTTATTAAGAATTTCTAATTTTCTTAAAAAAAAATACTAATCTGTTTTCTTTAGTTGACCGGTTCCGTTTTAGAAGATGCCTGGAAAGAAAAAGGAAAAAATGATATGGAAGAAATTATTCAGAGAATTGAAAATGTTGTGTTGGATGCAAACTGTAGCAGGTGAGAAGATAAATTTATGTGCAGTGTTTTGTTTATATGAAAAAGGAACACCTTAAAAAATCTTCAACTATAATGAAAAAATTATCTTTGAAACTTATATTTATGAAAATTAATGTGATGTGTGTAGGTAATTTTCCATGTTAAAAAACTAAAAAGTGTTTTTCAGTTGAAGGATAATGTGGCTTTTTTGGCAGTTGGGTTGATTTTGTTTTGGAGTGGGGTTTTTTGTATTTTAGTTTTCAATAGAGATTCAAGTTCCACTGTTCAGTTGCTTTTTTTTAACCTATTAGGTCACAAAATCTTCGGCAAGTGCTTTAGGCTCTTAAAGCAAGAATATACAAAGAGGAAATAGGGGCAATATCTCATAGTTTATACTTTTAATTTTAAATAGAACAGGCTTAAATACATACAAAAAGTACTAAATATGTAGCTGTATTAAATACATATAAATTACTATAAATGTAAAGGCAAAATGAAATATACTTTGTTGTTTTTTGTTTGGTTTTCTTTCTGGAGAGCACACCTTTTTGGCAAGGTCTTAGCTTTAATCTGGAAAAAAATGAGTGGTTGACTAATGTATTAGTAATAAATTAGTGGTTGACTATAATCATAAAATTGTCATAAAACCACCTGTATGCATGAGGTTATCTGATTCTGCTTCATCCTCAGCTTCTTGCAAACTTACTAAAAACCTGTAGAGGGCTCAGACACTGATCTCTTGCCATATGGAGGTAGGCCAAGAGTGGCTCATACCATCTGTGGGTTGTAATTGAGCTGCGCCCAAGAGGATGAGGAAATTTTTGCTTCAGGAACCAAAATAGACGGCACAAGCTGAGGCTTCAAAGACACAGAACAACAAACTAATTTTGATGCTTCTCGTTGGTCCTAAAATCATGAGCCAGACACGGTTAGGTGACAAAAAGGGGTTATCTTAGAAGGATCCTTAGGTGCTGAACTCACTAGGTGGAAAAGTGCTGAAGATGCACACCCAGCATAATGTGTATACAATTTCTGTACATTTAGCAAATTAGCATAACTGATAAGGATCTCCAGGTTGAGACATAAGTGGTGAGGTAATTCCCCCCAGAGCAACCCTTTCTGAATTCCTCTCCTCCTCAGACAGGAACTAAACTTTGCTTATGAAAATGTGTTTGGGAGAGCTGGTTTCAACTTTGGCTTCCCAGAGAATCTAACCTTGGACCATTGACTTGGAGCTGCTATCTTTCTATCTAACATAGTAGATGAAATGCTAGCTGAAAGTACTGTAATAGGCTACAGCACTACAAATATACATGTAAAGAATACAGAGACTATATAAAAGAAGAAAAAAGGTAAAAATCAATTTGGCATCCATTTCAGCTGGGAAAATAACTGGAAAATTTATTAATTTATGTATTCTTTCATGATAACTCTTCTCCATAGACTAGCTTAAAAGAAGGAATCTTCTCTTATTTTAGGGATTAAATGGGTGTTGATATCTAATGTACTGGGGGCATTAGTTCTTACATTTGACTAAAACATTTCCTTATGATGAAGAAGACTAAAGTTAGGACCATAGAATAGATAGCTAAAATAAAATCTGAATATCAACTCCCTTTTTTCCCCAGTATTAATCCTTTTATCAAAAAGGATTGTGTTCTTCAACTTGTACTGCAAGTTGTGTTATCTCAGTAAAAACTACAGCAATTTCCTCTTTCATAGGAGCTCCTTACTTAACAGCAGAGGAAATGGAGAGGGTGAATATCTCGGAACTGACACACACATCATCTAGACTTGCAGTTGTAAAATTGAATTCAAAATTATCTACATAACGGACAAATTTTATCCTTCTTGAACTTGTTTTTTTGGATGGATTTAACTATCTTGTATTTCCACAGTAAGAGAAGCCAAATTTCTTGCTTGGCACAAATTCTAACTTTTGTAGTGTTTCTCTATTTCAGAGATGTGAAACACATGCTTCTGAAACTAGTAGAACTGCGATCTAGTAACTGGGGTAGAGTTCATGGAACAACTCCACATGCAGAAGCTACCCCTGAAAACGACCCAAACTATTTTATGGTAAGAATGTATGGACGTTTCAGTTCCTTAATTTCATGTGAATTTGGTTTGATCCATCAACAATTGCATTACTTGAAACCATAAATCTTTCTCTGTGAATACATATAACTTTCTTGATGACTTTATTTTTAGAATGAACCAACATTTTACACTTCTGATGGCGTTCCTTTCACTGCAGCAGACCCAGGTAGGGCACAAATTTAGCTTGCCTGTCTTCTCAATCTTTTTTAAAAAGTTGTAATTAAGTTTACAGCCTGTTGAATAACATAAAATGTTATTTTTGAGAGTCTAAAACCTATTCAGCTTAAAAGACAAAATTCTGCTTGAATCCCTGGTTTAGTAGACCCCGTGATTTATTCTGTGTTAAAGAAGGTAGGTGTTTGAAATGGAAACTGTGCATTTGAGCTCACAGGTCAGAAGAACTTCTTCAGTAGTCCACAGCATCTGACCTTTCAAGAAAGCCAGAACTATTCAAGTCTTCTTTTGTTTGTCCATTGTTAGTATCAAAATCAATTCAAAATCCTTGGTCTCCGTATCTGTAATCTGAGCACAATGTGGTATAACCTCATTTGAGGTAAAGACATCTGTCACAATTTTTACAGTTCTATAGGAAGTTAGGCATTATTTGTAGACAGCCATTCATGTCCTGAGAAAACACTGCAGAAGGATCTTTTCCTGTTTATATGTTTCCTGCCTTTTATGATTTCATTAACCAGCCAATTTTCAAACTTTATACATTTCTGTTAATTTAGCAGACTAGACTTATATGTTACTCATTCTCATTTTTACTTTGCCAGATTATCAAGAAAAATACCAAGAGCTGCTTGAAAGAGAGGATTTGTTTCCATATTATGAAGAAAATGGAGCAGATCTGTCAGGACCTGGAGAGCTGTATGTTTTCTTTTTTAGTGATGTATTTTTTTTAATAATAGTTATTTTTACTGTGATGCTGTGATTGTTCAGATTTAGGATTCCAATGCTGACAAAAATGGAACTAAATAATGTAATTGTTATTTAGTTCTACAGTATTTGTTCAGATCAAAATTGGTTTTTAATCATGCCAGTTTGAAACCTATTTCATGTTTATTCTACTGAGTATGGTAATTACATATCAGATGTTTATGCACATGTACAAACATACTTCTGCACTTAAGAAAAAATTTGCAAGCAAAATGAAGCACCAAGCCTTCAAGTGTTTGTAGTAAGGCAACCTAAATTTGTTTGACTGTTGTGCATTAACATCCCAGCAAGAGATGATTACTGAATTTCCAGTGTCTTTAAAAGGGAGAAAGTGTTAACTTTCTCTCTTCAGCCTAAGGACTATTCCCTTCAATTGGAGGGCTACTCAGTATTCCTGTACAGGAAGAAAAGAAGAAAAGCAACCTAATGGCCAAAGGGGAAGCAATAGTGGAGAATATAGCCTGGCTTTTTGGCACCAGTTTATAAGAAAGAAATATGTAAAATAAGTAGGAGAAATATGGTCTAAAATAAATTGCTCTGAGCTTTATGCTCACAAAAGAGGACTTCCAGACCATGATTTGACACACAAGAACATTTTCAGTGTTGTTTTTATGCATGATAAGAGTGCAGACCTGGATCAGTATTTATTTCGTAAATTAGAAAACTTTCAGTATGTATCTAGCTGAGGGAAATGTCAAGAACATTGGAAGATATATTAGAGATGTCATCAGAAATCAAAAAGCTCATACTAAAGAAAAAAAAAAGACCAATGTGAACCTCTTTAGAAGAAAAAATACATATTGAACACAGACATAAGTTTAAAAACACAGCAAATCCTAAGAGTCATACGTAGAATGCTCTGAGTCAACCTTCAAACATGGTGACTGTAACCTTTGTTGAAAGCTTAAGAAAAGCTTAGACAAATGTCTGCTGATTCTCTGTCAGCTATTTCTCATGACCACATCAGGGTGGAGGGTTCTGTGTGAAGGCTCTTTCTTCTGAAGGCTACACTCTGCAAGAATAAAGGAACAAATGAGAAATATGTAGACTGCTTTCTCGATATACAACACTTTGAAGCAAAAAAACTTTTCTTACACACTTTCTATGGCCTTCTTTTACATATCAGTAAACAGGAATGCAGGGTTTCTGTATTAATGTATTCTGTCTTTGAACTAGGATGTTGACCAATCAAAATGACACTAATATGTTAGTAATTATGGTTTTTTGTAATTGGACCAGTAGAGATGCATTATTAAATTTTGGGAAGTGTGGATTGCATTACTGCATTTTCTATCATCTTGGAAACTATTTCTGTCTTTTAAACTGGGCAGCATAAGATGATCTAAAAAGGTGGCAAACATGGTAGGTATTTGAACATATCTGTGCTGCTTTGAGGTTTCTGTTTATTTGTTTTCCTAGTACCCATTATTTTTTCCTTTTATTTCCCTTTAGAAAAATGTAAATACCAGTCATTTATAAAACTTCGTTTTATTCTTAACTTCTACACAAATTCTAAAACAGTGCTGGCTCTGAAAATCTGTATGTAAACTTAACACTGCTGGTAATTTTTTTTTCTCTTCAGGTATTTTGATGAGATTGATGATGAGATGGATCCAGAAATTGAAGAAGCATTTGAAAAATTCTGTCTAGAATCAGAACATAACAGAAAACAGTGAGATTTTATGTATTAATGTTAGTTTATTTAACCACTTTAGGTATGGTTAGAGTGAAGGGGGACACAAAACATTTGTACCAAAATGAGAAACTTGAGTTTCTCCAAGTACTAAAGTTACACAATTTCCATTTTGTTTAACAGAACCTGCCAAAAAATGTAAACTTATGCCCTTTAACTTAAAGTGTTGTGTATATATCATAGTTTATTTTGTGAAAAATGTTTTTGAACAATGTTTTGGCTGCAATAAAAATTATTTAAAAGTTATAATTGAAATTAAAATTTAATGGGGAAATGTCCCGTAAAACTTCCCTTGAGGAAGAAAGGGAAAGAATAATAATCTGAATTTGCTTGCTTGTTTGCTTTAGTATATATTGGGATTTACTCATCCTATTTACTATATACAATATATCTTGCATTTACTTCCTCCACTTCCCCCCAAGAAGAATATGATCCAAATAAGAAAGAAATTTTTTTTTCCCCATTTATCACAATCAAGAAAAGGGGCTTGTGAAAGTTTTGTGTATGAATTTTTGTTTTGTTAATTTCCTTTTTCTTCTTTCAAAACACACATGGGTGAGGTCTGGACTTTCTTTTTTCCTGGAATAAATACGTTACATGTTGATATGTGAAAAAGCAAGCAGTATTTTTGAAGTGAGGTGCTTTCAAGATCTTTGGTTCAGATAAGCTTATTTTCAAATCTACAAGAAAAACCTATTCTGTAATTTGTTGTGTTCTTCAAGGCAATAGTAATACAGTTATGTTCTAAACCATGCTTCTCAAGAGTATGTGCACTGCTTATTTTCTTTTGCTTTTTTCTTTAGTAATGTATCTAACATGTCTAACCTTTCACAACCCTTGTAACTTTCTTTTATTCTTCTAATTTTATGTAGTTTGATTTAATTTTGTAGTTGGAGTAAATTCATATATTTCATAAATGTTAACATTCTGAAGCCAACAGAATTTTTTTTTGACTTCATAAAATGATGTTAGTTTTCCTAGGATACTCCATTGTTCCTGTTGCCAAACTCAGTTGAACTGTTTCCTACTACCTGTTGCTGGTTAGACTTGAGTAGAAATCCTTACCAAAAACAAACATGAAGTATTTCCCAACAGTTAGCTACTCTAAAGAATACGCATTGTAAATATGCATGTAAATAATTCTGATAATATTTCATTGCTATTTGTTAGGTTAAATAAGTTGTGCATCTGCTAGTAGAGTAAGCAGTGGCTGTTTTGTGGATGTTTATTTAACATACTTATTTAGGAGTTACATTCTTACTTGGAGTTTTGGGAAAAAAAGTTTAACTAGCTTTATTTCCTTTGATATAATATCACTACCTTGTCTTCTTGCTTTAAAACAAAAACAATATTTTATCTTCTTCTATCTCTCCTTTACTGAGCACTCCTTTCTTTTCTTCAAAGTACACAGTTGCAGAGTTGATTATCTTTTGATTCTTGCTGGACAAATAAAATGTGTCAAAATGCACTATGCTCATAAAGACTGTATTAGCATTCCAAAGTCTTTAGACTAAAATTCAGAAACTAGAAATGTGAAAACTAGATGACTTTCAAATACATATTCTCTACGTTGAGCACAATTTTCATACAAAAATTTTAATATAAATACAGGTCAGACTTTCTGCTGGCTTTACAAGCAGATGTCTTCTGGAAATTATATTTATTCAGAACTTAAAGTCCCAAGGAACAAATATTCATATATGCTTTGCAGTAAAGTAACAGTGGCTCGAAGGGACTGCACTTTACATGTTTTAGTTCTGCATGATTTGTGGTGAGTCGTCTTTTTCTCTCAGGTAGCTGTCGTCTCCAGATGTACTGTCAGCTTGTGGAAACAGTAATTTTATGAGTAGGTAAAGAAGCATGCCAAATCATTGGGTAAAAAAAAAAATTTAAAAAAAAAAATCAGGTCAAGTTTGCAATAGTAGGTTTTTCCTCCACTGAAAATACTAAAAATCATGAAGTGAGACTTTTGTTCAAACTAGTGTAGAAGTTTATAGTCTGTATATATGAATTCAGTAAGTGCTTTCAGTCTTTACTGCAGCAGGGAAAAAATTATTTTAACTCTGTCCTGCTGCATTAAATAAACAAGATAATGTTTTCATTACACACTCAAGTATTTCCCACTTGTCTTAAATCTCACAGAACTTCAATACAAGGTACTAAATGTGAGTGAGCAAGAGAAAGCAGCAGGTTTCTCACTGTCAGGATCCCCTTGTCTGCTGCTTGTCTGCCCACTCTTAATCGCCTGTTGTTCTGTGTATGATAGAGGTGAATCACGGGAGGTTTAAAGGTTATTTCACCTGAATTTTAGCATTTACAAATGTCAAATGTACTGTGTAAAAGTGTTTCTCATCTACAGGTTTCTGAACAATGCCTTGCAGAAGCACAACTTTTTTAAAATATGTATTTTCTTTATGGCATAATGGTAAATCAATGAAGGCACAGAAAGCAAAATTTGGGGAGATGTGAAGCAAGGTTCTTTAGCACTCATTCTGAAAAGAAACAGGCTTCACATTCAGATTTGAGCATGAGACCCAGGCTTTGCAGATCAGTAAAAGTATGCACACTATTTCCCACTCTTGACAAATTATTGTGATTTAGCAAAAATGTTTAGTACTTGAAAATCACACTTTGTTCAAAGGAATTTTAAAATGGGATGCTGCTTTGCATGTGCTTTGCTGTTGCGTGATTTTCATATCCAGAAATGGAGCTTGTTCTCAGTATTTCCCTTTAAAACCTGCAAAGAAGTTCTTGTTACTGGCCTTTTTTTTTTTTTTTTTTTAAACAGTTGAGGTCACTTGGTTTTAACTGTTGGGTTTTAGAATAATTGTACCACTAGAGAAGCAAAACTGGCCCAGCCACATCAGGTATCACAGGTATCACAAACTGCACATAGCTAGGATATTTTTTTTCAATAGAATAACCCATTGTGGCACTGGATGTTAGTGACATTTGGTCTACTTTGTACTAGTAATCTTAATGTTTCACTGGGACATTTTTTCCTTATCATGTTCTGCCTTTCCTTCCTACTACGTACAACTTATTGAATTACTGACAGCTCAAATTTGCAACTTCTGAGTTATATGCTAATCATCCAGTTGATGGCTTATAGTTCTGATCATTAGTTGACAGGAACAGAAAATTACATTCCAGCCAAAACTCAGGGAAGATACTATGCTGTATCCTGAACTGATGATTTGCCACCTCTACTTCAGCCTGTGTGACCTACTTCCACAGTACTCTATGCTGAGGGTTCCAACCAGAGCAGCAAGATTGTGATCAAAATGCAATGTATCATCCATAAATAATAATATTCATAACTCATTCATAATCCCAATATATACTTTGAAACTTGCTTCAGACAACTACTGAACAGACTAATACTCATTAAAAAGAGGTATTGTGAATAGAATCAGGTTATTTTGATGCATGGCTGTGTCAGCAGCCACTTGACTGGGTGTTGATCTACTCTCTGCCAAGACAACAACTGTCAAGAATGGGAAGTTGTACTGAATGTAGTCAGTCGATTATTGCACTTATCTGAGAAACCTGCACTTTCCTAAGCAGGTAAGGAAGCTAAGAGAGACCATATGGAGGAGTGGGGATATTCAACTGCATTTGCTAACGCCGGGCAGTGGCGGTTGATAATAACTTGTCACTTAGCTGTGAACTGCTGCCAAGACACTTAAAACAGCTTTGATTAAACTATATGTATTGGTGGAACGTGTATATAATAGTCAAAAAAAGGCAACTAGGCATCATGTTAAAATTGTCCTTTGACATATTGGTCTTTCTGTTCAGATAGGACTTCTACTGCCCAGTTATAGGTACAGAGCTGTGTGTTGGCTCAACCCCCCCCCCCCCCCCCCCCGCTTTCAGCAAATAAAAATTTATTAAGAAAAAAAAAGTACAAGGACACCGTGTGCAATTCTCTCAAGCTTATTTTACAGGTGTGTGTATGAAAAGCACTCATCTCGCGCGAGAGAGCAGGAAGGCACAGTTACCTAACTGACGTATGGAGCTGAGGAGCTCAGCAGGAGATCCGCTCAGCAGCAGATCCTGAGAAGCTCGGGGGGAGCTCGGCGGGAGTTGGGGCGTGGCTCCGGCGGGAGCTCGGCGGGAGTTGGGGCGTGGCTCCGGCGGGAGCTCGGGTGGAGCTCGGCGGGAGTTGGGGCGTGGCTCCGGCGGGAGCTCGGCGGGAGTTGGGGCGTAGCTCCGGCGGGAGCTCGGCGGGAGTTGGGACGTGGCTCCGGCGGGAGCTCGGGCGGAGCTCGGCGGGAGTTGGGGCGTAGCTCGGGCGGAGCTCGGCGGGAGTTCTGGCAGTCGCCCCAACCCCGGTTTCCGCCGTGCGGCGGCGCGGCCGCCTCAGTCCGAGAGGTGCTTCGCTGTTCTGGCTTGGTCTCCGGTGCGATGGAGGCGGAAAGGCTGATGGTACTGTTCGAGGACGACTCGGTGGAGGTGCACTACGCGGGGGGGTCCCGCCTGCTGCTGTCTCCTTGCGGCTCCGAGTATCTATACGAAGCGGCGCTCCCCGCGGCCACCCACTCGCTCCAGCCGGCGGAGACCACCCGCCAGCGGGTCGCCTTTGTCGTCAGTGCCTACCGGGTATGCGGTGGGCAGTGCCTTTGGGGACGGGAGCGCTGTCCCTTGTCCCTGGGAGCATCCCTTGGGCCGTGCCAGAGTTGCCTCCTTGCTCGGCAACGGGGCGGCCCGGGCATCACGGCCCCAACAGGCGTTCTTGTTTCTGTCTGTAAAAAACGGATCGGGTTTCATAGCCTCAGCTCCACAAAACGTATGACATCAGCATAAATTTTTATCACTGCATGTAAAAAATCGTAATAGGGTTTGTTTTCCTCTGCACTTCAACAGGAGCAACTTCTACGAGCGCTAGATTTCCGGAACGCGTTTGCTTCTCGCCCGTACTTGCCTTCGCGTGTTATACCTCCGGAAAGAAAAAAGGTGGGGTTAAACATAAGGCGAGTAATTCTTTCGTAAAAAAAAAAAAAACTTCTCTGTTTGATTTACTATAATTTCACATGCATGTGTGTGAGTACAGGCCGTGGAGAGCTATCGAGTGCAGTTTGGTTAATGGAGCTGTCATCTTTCTTAAATTACTGCCGTTTTAAATTACAGTTTTAACTGTTACTTAGACCTCGGTGAATGCTTTTTTTTCTTTTTTTTTTTTTTTTCTTTTTTTTTTTTTTTTTTTTTTTTAAGGAAACACTAGAAGCTAGTTTATTCCTAGCAAGGATAAAACTTAGGATTTTGTACATTGTTACATTTTGGCAGTAGAAACTTTTCAGAGAGGTCACAGTGCAACAGGATGGTGTTTTCTGAGGCTGTCAGATCTCCCCATTGGAGTGAAAATGCTGCTGGGGTCTATGAGAGGAATGAGGCAAAGTGTTTCTCTGTGTCTCTCTGTGGAAAAGGCCGCTCCAGGTCAGACTGAACATCCACGCAGTGAAATGTAAACTTTAAGGAATTTAGAGATTTTAGAGGAGCTAAGATTTTAGTTAGAAATAAGCCTTACTACAGTTATTTAAAATAATAATAATAAATGAGTAGACCTTGATGAAGTTAGGAGTTAGTAGTTAACTAATAATTGATTGCTTGTAAGCACAATGTTTAGTTAGCTGGGTTTATAATGAAGAATATAGAAACTGACAAATAGCTTTTAGGAACATAAGACAATTGTGGGCCTCCTCTGTTCTGAAACCAATTGAAGACAAGGAATGGGAGTTCTACCAAGAGTTCATTTGTCATATTTGCATTGAAAATGTAGAAAGGTCAGAACGAGGAAGACTTCATTTACTTCCTCATTTTGGGACTCCTCCCCATGAAAGGGACCACTGACCCATTTCAAGGGACAAACTACGCATGCTTAATAGCTTTTGGAGTGATTAGCATACAAAGCGGGGAATGGGATGTACCAAAATTATGAATATGTATTTGTATTTTGTGTATTCAATACTTGTATGGATAAAAAGACTCTGTAATCACCTGGAAGGTGCAGTGTGTATTTGGGAGCTATCCCGCATGCTGCCCAGCGTCGAATAAACATACACTTTCTAACTTTAAACTGTTAGAGAGTTTTTGTCCGTCACAGTTGGATATCGGTACTAGATCAATATCCTTTTTTTTTTTTAATAAATTAGCAGAGACTTAGTATTTCTGGAAGTTTTGCTCCAGATCAGCATCTCTCTGGGTGCTCCCACTGAATATGAGTGTCTGCACAGCGTGGTGGGAATCCTAAGACAGCTGATTAATCAAGTGAGCTTTAAAGCTCTTAGACTGACCCTTCAGTAGTAACACCCTTCATGTTGGTGTTTAGCTGCCTAAAGCACTGTCACTCAGTGTCACTATATACTTAATTAAAAGACATCAGTCCTTACCAATCGTGCATTCCAGTGCAAAGTATAGTAGCAAAGAGCTGATCCTCTGTTCTTAGCATGGAGGAGAAAGTTCCACCTTCCCTCAGGCCTTGAAAGATCTAGCTCCTTTGGAGGTTGGCTGAGTTTTGAACTTACAGCATCCCTTGTGACTACTTGCTTCAGGATAATTTTCCTAGGCCACAGCAAGCACCTTACCATGTTGGTTGGCTTCTCCTCCACACCCCTTTTTTTGTTGCTTCGGTTTCTTCCCACTCACTTTGAGAAAAACTGCTTTTCTTAAAGCCAGAATAGTCTTTTTAGAACTCCCGAGATTGTCCTTCTCCAGTGATTTACTGTCACTTTTTTTGTTGTGTGGCCTGTTATCACACAGTGCCCATGTTTTCAAGGACCTTGCAGTTTCCCACACTGCAGCAATCCACCAGGATAAAGTAAGAGTTGGTAAGCTTCAGATCTCATAGCAAATTGTTAATGAGCCTGACAGGCTAGCCCGGGGCCTAGCAGAGTTAAGCTGAGGCCTGTTACTACCGTGACAATTACCTTCATGGGCACATAAACACTTAGACTGTGTTACTTGCCTTATGCTTGAGTTCCAAACAACCCATTCCTGTGGTGTGCTTAGGTTCTTTTTCGGCCACTCCAACCATCCACATATCTAGACAGTTCCATGAGGGGGATCTTGTCAGTGGTCTGGCCTGTTCAGAACTGCAGCTAGTATTCAAAATGCAGGTTAGCTGTGGATGTATATTCAGTAGTATCACTATATCTTCCTTCTGCTCTTGTTCCATTCCTAGAACTTTCAAACATTTCATACTGATTAAATTGCTGGTGAGTACTGAGTGTGTTTTCATGGGACTAAGAATTACACCACCAGGATTCTGCTTGGTGGCAGTCAGCTCAGAGCCCATCCTCCTATATACAAATATATCTAACTATATCTAGTTAGGATTGCCTTTCCCCGTTGAGATCACAGTATGTTTATTTCAACTGAAGTATTACCTGCAGCCTTGTTGTCTGGTATTGATTATTTTCTACTGTCCTTCTGCAGTTCTTTATCAAATTCACTAATAATTGCTATGAACAAGATAATTTCACCATTCTCTCCTTTGTTTCTGAAGAAGCCATTGGAAACACAAACATGTACAGTTGTGCCTGACCAGTTGCCCATGTACCTTACTAATTTATGACTGGATTAAATTAAAACATTATTGCTAGATAGAACTCTGTTAGTACAGGAGGAAGCAGATATGAAGATTAAATGTTTTGCTTCCTCTGAGTTCATACATGCAAATAAATACAGAGCAACATTTCTTGCCATACATCACCTTGCAGAAGGACTGAATTAATTTAAATGTAAATGCTCTATTGCAGTTTCTGGGGGGAAGGTCATTTTTAACTTGCTGCACATTTCAATCCTTTTTCTTGTAGATTCTTCTCAGTGATATCTTAGAAATTAAATGGCCTGACCCTGCAACAGCTGATCTGACAAGATGTTTAGACAACGGCAGTGTGAAGATCTCATCTGTAGATGGCTATGCTCACCTTTATTTGTCAGAATTGCAGCGAGAATTTACAGTGGAGTTCTTATGTAAAGTCAGCCAGTCATCTGCAGCATCCTCATGCTCCTCTGAAAAGAACAGCAACTATCAAAGCAGAGATCAGTGTGGAAAACCAAGTAAAAATTCTGCAGCAGAAGTCTCATCAAAACAAAGAAGAATAGAGAATAGGAATAAATGTGGTTGTGCTGAAGGTAGATATAGGGAACCAACCAAACCAAAGGACCAAAGAGATGGAGTCCCTTTGTTCCACACAAATTGTTCTTCTGAATACACATGGGTTACACAGCGTTGGACTGTTTCCTTGTGCCCAGAAGAATGGAAATACCCTTTGTCCTTGGCCCTAAAATGCTGTAACCTACATACTGTGGAAAATTTAATAAAGACATACGAGACAAACAGCTGTACAGCCGTTGAAGGTGATGTTTTAGCAGACCCTGAAACACATGAAACTGTTTCTTGTTTACCTACAGCTTTGCCACTCAGCTGCAGAGCTCCACATCTACACAGGTAATTTAAACTCTCTACTTACTAGTTGTTAACATATGTTTTACAATTCTGCAGTTTGGAATTTCAACTTCTAGCAAAATAATTGAATCCTAACTATTAAAAAAAAGTTTAGAATTCCTATCAGTTGTGGGTTTTTTTGGAACTTCTTGAAATATGACATTGTAAAACCAACATTCTGTAAACTATTGTAATGAAGCTATAGTAATTAGTTCAAATTAAAAAAAATATTTTCTGACATGCTGTATGAATACATAAATGAAAAAGTGAATATTGAAAAAAGAACATGGGTTTTGTATTAGGATGGATTGGTTTTTCCTTCTCAGTTTTGAAAAGATAATATTTTTGAAGTGGGCCAGTAGTATATGTCAGCCACATTAAAAATAACAAAAAAAAATTGCGTGATTGAGAAGTTTAATTTGGTAACTAAAGTGGATCACTAAGGAATTGGAGGGCTCTGAAAATGTGTTTGAATAAGGGTGCATGCATCAGTTCTACTTACAGAAAAGATTACCAGCAAACACACTCACACAAAAGAGCAACCAATATATGGACTTAGTGAGGCTGCCATTGTATTTTACACACACAGGTGGACATTCTGTGACTTCTTTCAGAATGAAGATACGGATGATTATTCGCTCCATCAGCTAATTCAAGTTGTGTGGTGCCAGGGTATTTTCTACAGGTATGTAGGAAATTATCTGTGTTATCTGGAAGACTTTAT